AACTATGAAAAGATAGCTACTTAAACCCAAAAACTATCTCAAATCTTTAATAGGATTATTAAAGCTACAGAAAAGCAATTAGTACGTCCGAAAGATGAGACAATACTGTAATAACTAATGTAACAAAAGTAAGTGCGTTTTTTCTTTATTTATAAAAACAGGATGACATTTAAATCTTATCAAAGGTCTGCATACATATGTCATAGATAAATATTCTTTTGTACTAACGTATAAGGGCACGTCACGTCAACGCGCTATACTCGTATAAACAGAGGAAACTTGTGCAATTATTTCAAGAGATGCAGAAGCAGGCAATCCTCAAGCCTGATTACTTTCTTATGTTGGAATTGATCGTTTCCTTCCTACCCTTCCTCAGCTTAAGGAGAGATCAATCAAGGATCAATTAGTCATTGGGCTATCCCCAGTCGAATTGTATTGGCACATCCTCAGGGGTAACGGATTCTTTATATTTTGTCCGAGGAATTAAAGATCTGTTTAGGCCCTCTCGGCGGACCAGCGTGTATTTCGATTCTGGATCAAATAATTGATAAACTGATTCGAGCATCTTAAAATCTACAGTACAGCTTATTTTGAATACTTCTGGTTCTAATACTCAAGAATTAAGAAGTAAGAGGTTGTGCCAAGTTTAAATCTTAAAAATGGTGTGATCGATTGAATGATTAAAATATAGTTCAAATACTACTTTAAGATATTATAACATACCTCAAGCTAAACTTGGCAAAAGAGTAATTTTAAATCCCTTCAAAATTGGGGGAAGTGCAACAGCGGTTTTTTAACGCGTTAGACATGGGGAAAAAGAGCTGACTAGTACTAAAAGCTTAGAACAAGCTTAATCATTGCCGAGATAAAAACTTGTGCTTGAAGATAATTTATTCCTATTACATGTTAAAAGAGCGTAATTTAAAATACAATTACCGCGATGTAGTAAACACGACGGCCTGGAATAATTACACGTTTCCGACCAGTGTCTCTCTCGTACCCTAGAATCTAGATCATATTCCAGAAATCGAAACTTTTCACCACACAGCCATGTGGGAACGACCCGTGAGAAAGATGAGGGTCGCCGGATGCCGCTAAAAAACGAAAGAAAAAAAACAACAGCAAGGGGTTTGGCGTAAATATAAACCATGAAAGGAAGCCATCCCTGCTGCGGTCGCCTCCTATAATTTCTTTTATTGAGAGGGCAGAAGAAAGACGACGATGTAGAACTTCTCCAGAGTCTAAGGCGTGAATAGAAAATTTATTTAAATCTATGGAAATTGATCTCGCCTATGTTGGAAGGTCAGCGGGATTGGGCAGTCCTCACCAATTAATAAATCAGGAGACAGATGATAGACATGGCCAGACAAAGAACAAAATTGGACTTTTAAAACAACGCGATTTAAAGTCCACTCTGTGTACTTAAAACGTCTTAAATCGCAAAAAAAATTTTAAAAAATAGAGGATGCTCAAATTGAAGCAAAAAATTTTTTTCGCCTTTTCTGAGATTTATCACCAGGGTCGGTTAGGGATGGTTAGTTAGGATTTATTTAAAAAAAATATATATTTTATATATAAACCTTATATATAAGGTTTAAATGTTAGGGTGTGAAATGGCCTTAGCCGTTAATACGCCCTTAAAAATTAATAATAGTAATAGAAGCAATGCAATAAAACTATTGTGGAATGCTCTTGTGTTTTGAAGCAATATTTATGTAGTCATTATTGTTTGTGCTTCTGAATAGAGACTAATTTAATAAATTTTCACTAATTTGTTAATAATAAAAATAATTTTAATTTTTTTAAAATAATTTCAAGGGGTTTTTATTCTTCAGTTTCGTTCAAGATTTCACATTTTTACAAGGTATTTTGTTAATTTAAAACTGAGGAAAAAATGGTTCATTTTCAAAAAAAATTAAAATTATTTTATTTGTAGCCTATAAATATTTGTATACATTACAAATGTGATGTTCCTGGAGGACACATGCCATGAGAAACCAGTCAACCCTGGCACTTAATGTGAGGGATTAAGGGGCAAGGAAGTCCCGAGACCATCGTCAATTAAGGCGACATGGCAGTTCTCGGGATGGACATGTATAGAGAGAGCTCGAGCAATAGGGTTAGGATGGATTGAGAGTTTGGTGTGAAACTTTTGGAATCAGGAACGGTACTTTGACAAAAGGAATGTTGAGGTCTTTGTGGATAGTGAGGTTAGTGACGGAATTGACAATTTGTCAGTGGACTTTTTGATTGGAAGGATTGGATGCGCTGGATGTTCGATGGCTTGGCAGAACCCCACCATTCTAGCCATATGTCCAAAGTGGTTGCAGTAAAGTCTTATGTGGGGGTTAGTTTTGTTTTGATGGTCAAGGCAGATTTTGGTCCTAGAAGTCATCATAGTTGTCCAAGTCTTCGGTTGTATTGTTGTTCCTTAAGCCTTGTTTGTGGATTCCATGTCTGCTGTCTAGGTACAGTTCTAAGTATTTGACTTGCATGGAAAAAGGTATCTCTTTGTTGTTTATTTACAATGGAAGCCAAGACTGTTTTCACTATGTGAACATACAATGAGTACATGTTTCTTCATTCAGTCTTGTCCTCCATTTTTTGCACCAGTCTTCGATAAGCTCAAGGTGTTCTGGATGTTGGAGGTAGCTAGGATAGGATTTGAGGTAGAGGACAAAATTGAGGTATTGTCCGCATAGATGGTGATGACAGTGTTAGGGAGTATAGGTAGGTCAGCAGTATAAATGATATAAACAATGGGACTGAGAATGCTCCCTTGTGGGATGCCGGTTTGGATTTGTCTGACTTTTGAGAACTCGTTGCCTTTTCGTGTGCGTGCGTGTGTGTGTGTGTGTGTGATATGATATATGATGAACTTAATTAGGCTTAATTATTTATTTAGTATAATATTGTAAATCAGGATTGTTTGTGAATATGTACTATACAAAAAAAAGTATAATATATATTTAAAATATATATATTTATATATATATTAAATATATATTATATACATATTATATATATATACATATTAAAGTTAGATTCAGTTAAACAATAGCGTTTATTACTCAAAAAATATTTGTATATGTGATTTCAATGTCAATGATAAAGAGAGCATACTTGTAGGGACTTAAAATAATTGGATCGTCAATTCCCTAATGTAAAACTTCCTTGTTTCAATTTAAGATTTCATTAATTTACCCATGTTTAGTCAATCCAGTTTTTTGTCGTTTTTATTTCTTTTGTCATATAATTCCTGCATCACCAGGGATTTCCACTTTTGTCCTTTTTTTAGGTTTACTAGGTTGGAAATATGAATGAGGGCTGACACTGACTATTTTTGTGTTTCAAATGATGACACTATTTCCTTCCCCAATCCAACTACTTTATAAGAATTAATTTTTCAAGAAATGCAAAAAACTGCACCCGCAAGTTTTGGAAATGGAGGGGCCTCGAGTAAGATGAAGATTCTATTTTGTTGGTTTGTTCAGGGCTTTGTTCTTGGAAAATTAACGAAATTCTGAATAAAATTTTAGGCTCATGTCGTTCTCCTCCCGTGTTCTTAGTTGCTGAGTTAATTTTTATTTTTCTATGTAATCAGAAATGTTCAAAATTTGCAATATACTTCAAATATGCAAATTTATACAATATTCTTCTAATACTCAAAAAATGCAGAATAAAATTTGAAGTACCATACTATTGAGGTATGATTTGGCAAATATTTGGTCATCATGGTCATAAATGTGGTAATAAGCAGCATAAAAAGAATGCAATTGCATACAAATCCTGGCCCTAATGATGACACTTTAGTCGAAAGCACTGTCCATAAGTCACTTGCTCGGTTCAGAAGCAGAAAGTTCCATTGAGGCAAAGCGCTCTGGTCGTCTTTCATCATAGATGAAGACCAAATCAAACTTTTGTCAAAAATAACTCCCTGAGGCATTATAGAGGCACAACACAAATTGTACAAGTGATGTATGGGTTCCTCACATGTTGACTGAGAAAAATTATTTGACCTCATTTCCATCTGCAATTCCCTACTAAAGGTAATGTTAATGACCCATTTTTAAAAAGATTGATAACATGATGAAAGTGTGGCTTCTTTACAACAACACTCAGAGAGGAAAATCCTGGCGAAAAAGCAGTGATCTTCTTATAACAACCAAAAGCCAAATTACATCCCAAGAAGGAGGCCTTGTTCCTAAGTGTGGGGGTTGGCAAGTATGGTCTGAAGTTTGCCATATCTCATGCCATGGGAACGTAAAGACTCTTTATTGCTCGAGGTCGCTTGGCCTTTCCTCTGTAGTGTCGATAAATACTTGGGGCTTGACGGATGACAAGCTTCAATACTGTTCGAGCACATGTTCTCACAATCTGTTGTCATTTGTTGCAGTTGTACCAGATTATTCTGAACGGAATTCATTTTTCAACATCTATAAATCATAATAGAACCCTGTACTAGTGTTAATCTTTAAATCGAAACTGACTTCATTAAAAAAATTTACACAATGGATGACTAGTGGACATTTGATATTCACCAAGCTATGAGCGTTTCTGCACCTTGGGAACGGCTTACGGTCGGAATACAGGTCTCAAGTCTGCAAATATTTTTTTGGAATATGGATTGGAAGGAGAGAGTGTTTTCGTATGAGGTTATTCTGCCCAACCAAATCAATTCTAGCATATACTGCACCCAATTGGAAGGATTAAAGTCAATTGATAAAAAAACTGACATTGACACATGACAAGGGGATTGTTATCCACCAGGATAACGCACATCATGTCCATAATCCATATTATTGCTAGTGGAAAATCAAAAATATATGTTATTTACTTTTAATTGTGTTTTTATGTATTTTAAAATGTTTGATAACTTTTCAAGATGGACTGTTTGACTAATTGACTAATTTGACTAATTGACTAATTTCAGAATAATACCATCGTCATGACTGTTCAAATTAAAAATAAATTAAAATTGTAATGAAAAAATTAATTACCTTATTGGTTCTGTAATCTGGTTCTGAAACAGCTTGGATCTCACTGTTGAATCTTTCTCAGCCCTGCCAACCTAGGATATTTTATGCTCATAAAATTAGAAGTTTATTTCAAATTCAAAATCAAGATATACAATAGATATTTGATAAATGAATGTATCTCATGTTCAATAATTTATTCATGACATATTAGACAAGTTCAACTATTATACTTATTTCAATTAATTTATCTTTTTATATAAGGTTTTGGCTGAAATGAAAAAGTTAGTGTCACATTTTATTTCAGCCAAAACCTTACATAAAAAGATTAATTAATTGAAAGAAGTAATTTGGTCAATCAGACCACCAAATATAATGGATATATTATACTTATTTTGAATTGATTGATTTGTACAAGTTCAATTCTGCACATACATGTACATATAAATAAGTACACATTCAGAATTGCTTACGACTACTTGAAAAGCTGCAAGAATCACTTACTTTGGGTCTTGGCAGTCCAGGGTCAAACCTCAGTCGTATATGTTTTCAACAGCTAGATCATTTCAGCCTCCAATGTTTGCAGTTTTTAAAGCTAGATACACTCACACTCCTTAATTCTTAAATACATTCTTTCCTATGATACCATCCACTCAAGTAGGGTCCACAATGGCAATAATTATTTAACTTGATTTACCTAAGATCATTTTGGTCAGAAACATTTTAGATAATAATCTTAAAAGACTGCAGACCACATAAAGAAATGTCACAATTTAATTCAAATTACTGGCGATGATTAAATAATGTATAAATAATACCCTAGGTATTTCACAGCCAATTTTCAGAAGTCAAAACTATGTTATTTTGAATGGATCACATTTATAATTAAACTATTGCTTTATTTTCAGCAAGTCCCTGTACTCCATCAGATGGCTGTTCTTGCTATAATTGCAGAGAGTTGATCGAGCTATCCGAATGTCCTATTTGTACCGGAGATTATCAGAGAGGTGTCACTGCTTGTGAGCATTGTGGTAATGTTACATGTTGGGGGTGTGCCGCACGTCTTCCAGACTGTCCTTTTTGCCGCCGACCAAGAACTGCTGCAAGAAATACTGCGCTCGAAAGGATATTTAGCAAATTACAAGTCCCCTGTAAACCTTCAAGGTAATTATACTAAGTGATTATTATTTGTCCTTCTTCTGCAATAATAATGATTGATTGTTTATTAACAGATTACAGAATAAAAAACTAGATACTCACCAGGAAGAACACATGTGCCTTGTAAAAAGAGACTGTACTTGGAGAGGCATGTTGGCTGATTTGGCATCGCATTTAGAAGGAGATCATTCAGTTTCTGTTCTGGTAGCCAACGGAATAACAATCGAGATAGCCGGGTTTAGAAGCAAAGTGAAAATGAGTGAGTTACGAGGACGCCAGTACACCATTTCTCTGGCGTGCTTTGCTTCTATATTCGTCTGCAATATATCCCTTCATAAAAAACGTCTTCGTCTTCTTTTCACTGGAGCATCGTCGCACAGATCTCAGAAATTTGGTGCATGCCTTGAAGTCGAAAGCTCATACAGAGTCATGAAAGGAATAATGCCAGTGTCTTCCCAGTGCTACAAGCATAAAGAACTTTACATTTCCTGCAGCAGCCTTCTTTCCCCATGGCGCCAGACTGATGATGTTGTAAAAATAACTATTACTATTCGACCAATAAGTTGATTGCCATTGAAAATGTCATCTAGTCAAATAATCAACAGTTACCAACTGTGTTCTCGAATATTTGTGATAAATATGACTAATTAATGTTTACCTCATTAAAACAGTGTGTTGGTATTTTATTATACAATTTTTTTTTATATAATTAGTTTGAAGTAGCAAGTCATTTATTCCAGTTGAATATATTGCTCAAATTTGGCACTGCATTTAAAAGAAATGTGAATTTTGTGATAAAAATGGTAAGCATTAATAAATTCAATATAATCTTATTTAAACTGCCATGAATCTATGATGTAGGGACAACTATTTAGTGAAAAACTTATTTTCTTTGTCATTACAATTTAATTTTAGTGCATTTGTATAAAGTTATATAAATATAATATATTGGTGCTCAAATAATGTTAATAAATTGTACTAAATATGTTTTGTTCATGATTTCCAACACCTAACATAAAATGAGCAATGAAATATTATGTAGAAATACTAACAAAATATGCAGAGAAGATTTGCACATGCTGTACATTCAGCTTTAATCAGATTTCTACTTTTAGCCCCTGTAAGTTTTTTTCCTTTCCTGTGGATGAAATTTGTTTTGTCCTTGTAATTTGTGTACTTACAAATCTCAGTAAAGCCAGTTCACGATTTATGCAGTTGTAAAGGTGAAATAAAAATAAATAAATAAACCCTTACACTTCATTTTAATTTATTAAACAAGTACAAAGTTTACATACAATAATTACAAATGTGTTATAAAAAAATTAAAAACAAAAATTCACACTCAAAGGTGAATCACATAATTTCTTAAGACTAATTGTGCGTTGGCGTATGAAGCTTAGCCCTAATTATTCACAAGTTCACAAACCAAACTCAATGGGTTAAGTGTTATAATTGTACTTGTGCTGTACAAATATTTTGCGTTCAGTATTAAAACTTCTCAAAGTGCTTTAAATTTATTCTTTTATTTATTTTATATTATTTATATACTCAAGGCACATATTTTATTTGCAAATTATATTAAAAAAATTTGGAAGGAAATAGAAAATATAAACCAGCAATATCCTCTTGTGAGATATTTTGATTTACAATGTTTGGAATAATCTTTGCACAACAAATGTATAAAAATAATTTTTGAACAGAACATATCCATGAATATGTCCTATGTTGTGAAGATGTACTGACTAGGGACGGTATTTCTTTAAAATAATTAAATAAATGACCAGTTATAAATAATGGAAGTTGTAAATTTGCTAGAAGATAATACACACATAACTACTAAAAAAAATCGCAATTTCTATATACAACTGTATTTTCACCATTTTTTGTCAGGCACTCTAAACTTATTTACATTTTTTCCCATTCACAGTTGTATGTTAAATATATTTTTTATCAATTACAAAAACAATTAGGAAGCATTATTAATTTTAATATGAAATGCACAAGAAAAATACTTCATTTTACAAATTTTGACACAGTTATTTACAGGTTAATCTCTTGAAAATATTGTCTCTGGAATGAAACTAGTCAAGTGAAAATATATTCACTTTTTACTTAAACTAATGCATGTATATTTTATTAAAGAAATCCCATTAAGGAATTAACTGCTATTTCTAAAAACGCACGTACAAATCATTTGGAATGTTCAGTGTATGACAATTTCATAACACTAAGGAAACTGAAAATTTATCTAGCCATAAAATTATTTCATTAGACACTATTAAAATACACCAAAAGATTGATGAATAATTAAACAATAATATAAATCATTAGAAACTATATNTTACATATATAAAACCCCACTAACCAAAATAAAACGCAACTTACTTTCAAAGGAAAATAATTGAGAATATAAAACTTAAGTAAAACAAGGTGAAATAGTGGCTCCCAGGTGCAAAGACCACATGGCATCAGAGCCAAATTAAAAACAAAAAATCAATGAGCAGATGCTAGGATGTAATTATATTGAACTATTGATAGCAACACTACAAATTGTAATTGTAATATGTTTTAAAAAATGGAAAAGAATAGTTTAAAAAAACATTCAGTATTTTTAAAATTACTTAACATTCGCCTTTTCAAACGGCTATCAAATTTTATTATTTATTCTAAGTATAAACTTGCAATTGTGAAAATTGAGTTGCTAAGTGGCCACATCATTATAAAACAAATATAAAATATATGTATTTTATATTATTATTTGCTTTTACTTTGCTTCACAATTGAAAATAATCTCTAACAAGAAGCACATAACTACAATATTTACCTTTTAATATAGTAAATGGTGATATTTCAGTGAATATTATACATAATCCAACACTTTAACAGAGCAGAACCACAACACAATGTATTTCTAAATCATTTCAATACTAGTGTATTAAATCTTCACAATAAATAATTATTTAATTTTGGAAAACCACTGAAGTGTTCTGCGATGTTGAAATGCAAATCTCCTTTCTTAAAAAAATATATTAACACATACTCAAGCCGCCTTTGGGTATTTTATTGTATTTGCCTAACTATTGAATATTGACAATATGCAATTTTATAATTCTAAGAAATCTAAATCTTTTGCAATGGCACTTTTATATGGAAGTTTTGTTTTTTAAACTTATTAATAGTATGTATAAATATTTTTTTTGTAGAAGTGATGTGGCGCATGCCCCTAAGGTAATCACATTTTTAGGATGCCTGAAGTAGAATTGGAAAGGCATAGTGAACACTGCCGGCTCGAATATACATCATGGGTGGGAAGGAAGGAAAAAAGGTGATATGTTCATGATGCCTTATTGTCATATTATCCTATTGTTAAATTGGAGACAAATTTATTTTCTTATAACTCCTAATTTTCTTAATCATTTCCTACATTATTGTTTTAATTTTAAACCCAAATTTAGACACGTATTAAGCACAACAAAGCTTTTTATACATCTATTAGGTTTTGTGGTCCGATTGACCAAATAAATTCTTTTTATACACTCAACTTATAAAGTAAATATAATTTTAAAAAGATTAAATTTTTTATTGTACACTCAATTAAAGTTTTATCGGAAAATGAGAATTTTTATTTATTTGCTGCATTCATACACCAAATATTTTTAATTTTCTTATATAATATTAAATAGTAAGTTCAGCACTTTGTTTTTCATTAAGTAAATCTACCTGGTTTCCTATAAATATATTTTAAATCCAACCTATTGATTAGATTGAGATAAAGCAAACTTACCAACTATATACGATACAGACATAAATATCTAAGAACTGATTATCCATGCATTAAAAATATAATAATAATACTTTTTAAAAAATAAAAAAGTAAAATAATCCTGTCATAAGGTAGAGCGGCTGAATGTCTAACTATCCATTGAGTGTCTTGGACAAGTGGGTCAACATTTTACAATACGCTACATATTTTTCACAATTAAAAATCCATGGGCTATGTCGGGATTTGAACCCAGGACTACTAGTATGGCATTGCGAGTCAGACGTTCGAACCATCACTGAGGTTTCTAAAAAACGCTCTTCAACAAACTAGAAATGAAACAATCACAAAAATTGCAACCCCTTTTCATTCTTCGAACTATTTAAATTGTTCTTCTTGGAAGATAGATTTTTCAAATCTCACTTGTTTTGTGGATAAACATTCTTCTCTTCAGTTTATCTTTATTGGTGACCTTAACGTTAGACTGGTAATTCAAATCTCTCCCAATGATCTGCTACTTGATAATCCTAATTTTACTCAGTTTAAAAATTCCAATGACCAAGTTTTGAATAGTAGAGGCCATAAATTTCTCAAATTCTGTGTTAGCTGGGGATGGCTGACTTGCTGGCATCTATAAATGTAATCTGCTTCAACTCTCTAACATCCAATCCTTTCCAGATGACCCCTAAGCATGGTTAAATATATTAATTAACACTGTATATCTTCATCCCCATCTCTTATGCCTAGCTCTTCTTTTATTTGTACAGTCAAAAGAAAGCCATGGTTTGATGGAGTACGCTTTCAAGTCAGAAAGAGTTATTTTAAATTGCTTAATTCATACCGTATTACTAACTCCTTAATAGTTAAAAATGATTATTTAGGCTGTACCAGTTCTTACAAATCCTTATGTACATCCAAAAAGAAAGAAATTTTCTTTCTCCTCCTTGGTCTCAATTTTCTTCTGTCGAAAATTCTAAAGAGCTTTGGTCCTTGGTAAATAAGTTTAGAACTATAAAAGAAAATTGTTTGTAGCAATATAATATCGATGACATCTTGGGCGTCTCATTTCAAAATAAATGTGGTTACCAGGGATTCCTTTTGTGTGTTGTACACTGAACTTTTCTCACATCTATTTCACTTCACACCCCTTTTTCCCTTGATGATTTGAACTTTGTTTTTTTATGAATCTTTTATGAACGCTCCGGAATTGTTTTGTGAAAAATTATTATCTCTCTTCAACTTCATCTATCTGAATGAGGATTTGGGAGAATCCATTATTTCTTTATAAAGAAACTGTTTGCCCTACCTTCTGCCACACATTACATGTAACATCTCAATACTGAGGTGGATATTCTTTTTCTTCACACTCTTAAGCTACACTTCACATACTGCCTTAGAATGTGAAGCTTATCTCATTTTCATATTCCTAGGTTATTTACTATATAAATTATAAATGAAAATACATTTGGGTTTAAAAGTTGGAAAGGTCTCTTAGAAATATAATTCTCCATTTGATAAATCACTTCTAAATACGCCTTTCTGTTATGATAAATTGTCTACTTTATTGGCAAGAGTAAGTTCAGCTAGTCTATATTTCTCGTCTTCCACCCATTTTTCTCTTTACCCTCATCATCCCCCTGACATTAATATGTGAAGCCTTTCTAACATTGTCTTTGTCCAAATTAAGATGGATTTTTAAATTGCAAGAAGAGCTTCTTTCTTTAAATCATACATCATGGATAGAGCAGTTGGATAAACAATGTGTCGTGTGCGGTTCTGGGGATGTATAGGACTGTTTCGTTTCTTGGGTGAGTATCCTAAGTACTCTGACTTGCACCTTTCCTTTTTTGGTAAGCTGCAGCTTTCTGCTTCTAATCAATTAGAGTTCCTCAACTCTACAATAAAATATCGCATCCTCATTGGTTATGCACGACTTACCCGTCTATTTGTACCCGAGTATCTAGTTTCAGTTATATATTTGAACCCTTCTTTTAAAGTTCTTGTACTTTTTCTAACTCATCAACTTTTTTTCTTATATAATCTACTCACCCCTAGCAGACTGTTTATTACCATGATAGTAGAACATGCATTTTATTTTATTTTTATTGTAAACATAAACTACACCTAACAATATACTTTATATTTCAAATTACTATTAATAAAAAGGTTTTCCACAATAAAAAATAAAATAAAAAAAATTGCAAAAGCAAAAAAATATATATGTATTAACAAAAAAAAAGATGAGTAAAAAATAGAAAGGAAAAATAAAACAAAACAAAATAATAATTATTAAATTAAAAAAATATATTATTTTCATGCTTTAAAAATATTGGAAGGAGGCGATTCTCGAAAGTGAGAATGAACAATACTCTCACACAACATACATTATGCAAAAATTAGAAAATAATCCAATGTGGATACAAATAATAAGATATATACACACATAATATATACACAAATTCACATCTACTTAAGGGGATAATTACAATTTAAATATATAATATACATTTCCTTTATTAAAAGGGAAGAATTTGGTCACTTTTTAAAAGTCAAAACAAAAACCTCGCTTGTGACTTTTTTGTTGCAAAAAAGAAATATTAATTATTCACAGTATTTAAATAAATCAATTCCCTTTGAAAAATTTAGAACTCAATGGGAGTTGAAGGTGGGAACATAACGATGCTACCTTTTGTGGGGCCAATACGACCTGATGAGAGTATTGACATCGGCCATTAGATGTCATTGGGATTTCATTGATACTAATTTCCGACCTCTGGCCCTCGCCTCCTGTCTAGTATTAGTGTATTCAAACCAAAGAACATTTGGAATAAGCGTCGTGTCCCTCAACAACAACAGTTCCGATATCCTCCTTTAAAAAATAAAATAAATAAATAACTATTTTCATGTAATAATTATATAAAGTGGGAGATTTTTTGTTTAAAGAAAAAAATTGCTTACCAGGATACAACAACTGGAAAGTAGGGGGTGAAGACAAGGTATGTCAATGCGAACCATATTGTCCCGAATAATATTCCCAAAAGTGCCCCACAGAAAACTTGTTTCCAAGTGTGGTATTGGAGGTAGATTCTTTAAAAATAGACAGTATGAAAATAAATTGTTGAAACAGTAACTTCATAATTATAAACTTTACCTGCTCACAGAAACAATGATTGCTAAAAACACACAGCCAAGAACAATAACAGCTTTCCACACACTTTCTAACGTAGTGTTATTATTCATATGATGTAACCTTAAAATGCAAATTATTAATTAACTGATGAATGAACAATGAGACAAAATGTGATTATTTAAAAGTACCTTATAAAAACAAAATAGATTACATATGTAGTAAAGAACCATGAAAACTGTGCATGGGAAGAAGGCATGCCATAGTCATTGTGTTGCATATTTCTAAAAATTGGTCTAGGATCACAGATTATCGTCTTTAATATTTGGTTGAGCAGTTCGTTTAAAATTGTCCCGATGAAGAAAACAATCTGGAATGTCAAATGTAAGATCAAGAAAATGTGGTTCAATTAATCTAATTACAAGTTTTAGATGATTATTACCGTGTGTAGATCTCTTCTAAATAGAATTAAGGCTACGAAACCTGCTCCTATTCCCAATGGTGATAAACTTGAAAATGCTAAAATTTTACCCAGAAGATCATCTGTAAAAGCATAAAAATAAACTATTAATTGATCCTCAAAATAATAAAAGATATTCCTGATATTTTATAACAAATAAATACTTTTTTATCTGTATAATTTTTAAACTTGATAGAACAACATATTTCAAAAACAACATATACATAATTTGGCTATGATTTTGAAAAAATTTTATAAACTAAGTGTTTTACAATAATATGGAGGAATTACAAAAAATTTTGTTAAAAGCCCATATAGTGTATTTATGTTATTAGCACTAATTTAAATTCTACTTTAAAATTAAATCAACCATTATCCAGTAAAAATTGCAATAATGTTCTTACTCAGACAATAACTGCTAATTAAAAATAACTGTCAAGTTGTTACAGTGCAAAACGCAGATTATTTATTAATAAACTTTATTTTCCTGCGAGAAATTGCTGGTCATAGTTTCAAGGTTCACTTAAGTGGTTAATGATAGAATAAATTGATACGATTGCCAAAACTGCCATGATTGCTACTTATGTACATACACAATGTAATAAATTATTGTTTTATGTATGAAAATATATTTGTATTAGCACTATACAAAACTAGAACCTACAAAAATAGGATACAATGAACTGATTGGCAGGTTTATTTAAAAGGCCAATTATGATAATACTTTTGCGATAATATTAAATCTCTACTTTCGGTGGTTACAATCATTTTTCCTACCTATCCCCACTGTTACAGTTCAAACCAGTAAGCATAGTTAGATGAAAATAATTGGAAAAGACCAAACTACAGGTTCATCACATTGTAGACCCCAAGAAGAAATCTCACAAAAATAAAACTTAAAATGAAGACAATGTAATAACTTGGAAACTTTTTCTTGACAACCAAGACCTTAGATAAAGTAGTATAATTAATTTGCAGTCATTGTTCGGACTGATTGTTCTGATTTTACCACTGTATGACAGGTCCAGAATTAACTATTGTTTTTTTACTGTACATTCATAGTAATGTCAGCCTCTCATTTTTGACTTTTGGAACTATCTGACCCCAAGGATGTTATCCTGCAGTCATCGCGTCAAATTTAGAACGCTAAATGCACATAATCAAATTATTTCTGTGTTAAGCTATGAACTTGATACTATTGGAACAGATTTCTCAGATTCTATCAACTGTATGACCGGTCCAGAATTATGTATTGGTGTACTATTTACGCCTCTCGTTTTGGACTTTTTGAACTGTCTGACCACAAGGATGTTATTCTGCAGTCATCGGGTCGAATTAGAAAGAACGTATATGTATTAACGAGGGACGACTCCGTAATAAATACAACTAGTACGAGCGTTAGGCAGGTCTAAAGGATTACGACAAACCGCCCACGAACGGACGGCGAAAAGTTAAAAAATTAAAAACGTTTTCGATGACGTAGAAATTTCCTTTAAACTATAAATAAACAATCAAAAGGTAATAAGGGAAATGAAAAGTTAACCTATCGAGGACGTAAGAAAGGAGACTTGATGCCGTCTCGCCATCATTCGCGTATAGACGAGGATAAAAAACGAGTCAATAATTCAAAAGCGTGTACCTTTTGGATATTCGACGAGGGTCAGCTTGAGCGGTGTCCACTCTACTCCGTTGAAATCCTCGACTTTCGGTTTAATAAGTTGGTCTTGTGAGGCCATTTTTAAAACTCGGCCGCTTATTCAAAAAGTCAGAAAACCGCCGACTCGCCTTCTCACTCTTTCTCGCACTCTCTCACTCTGTCTTCTCTCGTGTCAACCTTTCATAGTCTGCGACATGGCTAAAACAAAGCCCCTCGACTTCAAAATCTTAAAAGTATGCGGTCGGAGCAAGGCGAGGACCGGGATTATGCGTCTGCCACATCACGACGTCGAAACTCCCGTTTTCATGCCAGTCGGCACGAAGGTAAACGGCCACGTAACGAACGCGATTTCAAAATTATTTTTGATTGGTAGGAGTCGGCTTTTTTTACATTTCACTCGGTACTCGACACGTGGCACCTGACACAAGTCAATTCCACGTATTGACTATTGACTGTTGTCATTGTTATAATTACCTCCTAAATCAAAACAAATCTCTGATTTTATGGCACTTCCTTATATATTTATTTACAACTTCAACAGATTAACATCCATTACAGAAGTAGTCAACATTTTACCATTATTGTCAAAAACAACAATGAAACCCGGCTTAATGAGCACTTGAAATCAAATTAGTGACACCTTCAATGTACACATTTCCACAAAAAAAGGCGTTCTCTTTAAAAGTGGTGGTAATTGTTGATAGTTGATAGTGGTAATTGTGTTGACCAAAAAAAAAAATAATAAAAAAATTGATACTATTTTTATAAACTTGCCTCTTAAGTGATATTAGCACTGATATTTTTTATAAACTTCAAAAATGAATCATTATTACCCATTTTGTAGTATTTGTTTTCCATAGCATTTTTATTTTATTTTTATTATAAATAGTATTAAAATTTAATAGAATTTATTATTAAACCCATTATAGTTAGTGATCCGAATGACCAAATTACTTCTTTCAATTAATTAATCTTTTTATGTAAGGTCTTGGTTGAAATGAAAAAGTTAGTGTCACAAGCGGGATTCGACCATCGGCTCAATATGCTGCTGTTCTAACCGCTTGAGCTATCGTGACTTCGATCCACTAGCTCGTGAAAGTAACTTTTTTATTTCAACCAAGACCAAGATTGTTTTGTACTGAAAAAAAATTAATTAAGGGATTTCAAAGAATAACAAAATAAAAGGCTTTAATTCCATAATTTTGTTTATTGGGCCCAATATTTTTTTAAAATGATTAATACTGTGTGTAATGTTTTTTAGCTCAAACCTCTGTGTACCTGTTAGGCAGTGTTAATAAGGTCATTAATTTTATAAGGAATTTCACTCCATAGTTGCTGCAGATCAACTGGATGCGGATGGTGGTCAAAAAACCTTCTCTGCAATGCATCCCATGTGCGCTCAATGGGATTGAAGCCTGGAGACAATGGGAAAAGGGGCAGTTGGGAAATTACCAAGTTTTCTAAACATTGATGAACAACTCCGCCTATATGAAGTCTGGCATTGTCATCCATAAATCGGAAATCCCTTCCAATGAGATCCCTGGTTTGAGCGAGGTATTCCACGATAATTTCTTTGACATAACGGATTATGGTGAGGTTGCTTTCAGCAATATGAATTCCAGATCAGCATACTGTAAATCCCAGCACCATTACCCTACTTCCTCCAAACTGCACTGAAATGAGCACAAACATGGGGCATTGTATGCATCATCTGTTCTCGGTGACTCTTCACCATCTGCTATCACTATACAGACATAAATGCGACTCATCAGTAAACATGGTTCCAATTGTGTGTTCTCTTCTAGGCGCTCGCTCCACCAAATTCTCCAGAGTTGCTGGTGGCAGCCTTTGCCGCAGGTCATCTCCAAGGGGCATACAATGTGAGGCCAACTTCCCACAAACGATTGTTTGTGTTGATAAAGTCCTCGCCAAAATATCTTTTACTTCATTTAGGTTCTGGTGTGCACTATGGAAAGGGTTCCGTCTTGCAGCAATGAAATATTTCTTTCCCCCCTTAGTGTCATAAAGCGCTGAGATCCACTACCAGGCCTCCTATTGGCACTTACAGTCTCAAGGATTATTTGGCTAAAGCCCGGGAGACCATGCTCTGAGAAATGCCAACTGCCTCTGTGATATCCACTTGCCAGAGACTCAATGACTCATTCTCACAATAATATTGCAAACTTCTGGTTCAAGATGATGTCTTTCCATGGTTAAAGAGAATAAAACTGGATTAAAATGGAGAAAAGGTGTTCTTAAGTATAACGTTATTAAAAATTAGGATTAACATTTGTTTGATTTTGGTATGTATTTTCTATTCTGTTTTATCCAACTAACAAGAATATATCGGTAAATTTAATTAAAATTAATACAATACGAATAAATTACAAATATCCTTATTCATTTTTGAACAGTGTTTGGTTTTAGTGTGAAAATAAAAATACCTCTTTAAAAAAATCATTTTGTATTTACATAAAACATTATAAAGCAAACTTAAATATCTTTAATAATAGGATGTCAAAAAATGACCAATTTCATTTTCTTTGATATTGTAATCACCTATAATAATTGTTGTTTAAATACAATTAAATTTGATATCACTTCCATCCAAGATGAACCATCCCTCAATGGAATCGTCATACAAGACTTAACAGACAACTCAAGAAGACTAGGACAACTATGAACACTTCTAGGAAGTGTATAGTGAAGTGTATCTGCCTATCCTCTCTCATTCTTCTTTTCAATATAATATTTTCTGATTTTTGGAAGCTAAACAAAATTTGTCTTAATAGTTTTGTGTAAAAAAATGCTTTATTTTTTTATAGGGCACATTGAAAGGGCTCCTACCAGATCAGTTAGAAAATATGGACTGTCAGATTATGTTAGGAAACACTTATCATTTAGGAACAAAACCAGTAAGCATTTATATCATAATTTTATTTAAAAAATAGTTTCTTCATAATCTTAATTATCTAAGGGGCCAGAAATTATAAAGAAAGCAGGAGGTCTACATAAATTTATCGGTTGGGGTAGGGCTTTGCTCACAGATTCAGGAGGTTTTCAAATGGTGTCTCTCTTGGATTTGGCCGAAATTAATGAAGAAGGTGTTAATTTCAAATCACCGTATGATGGTACAGCAATTAATTAATTGCATTGTGATGAATATGGTTAATTATCACATTCATTTTAGGCTCTTCTTGCCTTCTGACGCCTGAACATTCCATACAAATACAAAATGCAATCGGAGCTGATATTATGATGCAATTAGATGATGTTGTGAGCGTACTAGTAACAGGTCCCAGAGTAGAAGAAGCAATGAATAGGTATGATTGGCTATTTTTTTTGTTTTTTATATTGCTACATATTTTATTTTTGAAATTATTGTAGCATACTAAACAATGAAGTTCAGCAATCTGTTCAGACTAAAGTTGAGTTTGACTTATTTTACTAGGACGACACGATGGTTGGACAGATGTCTTAAATCTCACCAAAGACCTCAAGACCAGAATATATTTCCAATTGTTCAAGGTAAACAAAGTTAATTATTTTTGAAATCGAAGAAAAACACCTTTATTTTTTATTTATTTGTAGGCGGTCTTGATTTGGATTTGAGGTATGAGAGTATAAAACAGTTAACACAAAGAGATGTAAACGGATTTGCTGTCGGTGGTATAAGGTAGGCTTTTATCCATCGAATTGTTATGAAAGTATGACATGTATTAATTTCCAGCGGGGGAGAAGAAAAAGACGACTTTTGGAAGGTTGTCCATTTCTGTTCGAAACATCTCCCACAAGAAAAGCCGAGATATTGTATGGGCGTTGGATTTGCAGTTGATTTAGTAGTTTGTGTTGCACTAGGAATGGACATGTTTGACTGTGTTTATCCAACAAGAACAGCTGTTTGTCTTTTCCATATTATATAATAGTATTTTATTATTTGTATTATTTATTAATTTTTTAAATTTCGCAGCGGTTTGGTTGTGGACTCGTTGAAACAGGACAAATAAATCTAAAGAATAGAAAATATTCCAAAGATTTTCGTCCGATCCAAGAAGACTGTGAATGCACAACATGTAAAACTTACTCTAGAGCATACATTCACTCAATTGTTAATGTCGAAACAGTTTCGTGTCACCTTCTATCCGTACACAATGTTTATTATCAGGTAAAACATCAGAAAATATCTTTATATAAAATTACAATTAATAAGCATGTACCCATATAAACTGTGATTCTATTACAGATCAAATTGATGAAAACAATTAGAGAAAAGCTTAAAGAAGGCAAATTTCCTGAATTTGTACAAGAGTTCATGTCACGAATGTTTCAGGATAGGGAAGTACCAAAATGGGTGATTGATGCTTTGGAAAGTGTTAATATCATTTTAAAAACAGAATAAAATTTACGTATTCTCAATATTACGCCATTGTAAAGTGTAAAAACCCTTAAAAAGATTACATCATCAATGGTTATTTTTATCTTTCCAAAACCCCACACAGTGCACTTCTTTCAGTAAACTGCTTACACTACATATGCTTGCCTTGAACCTTGCTCTTTTTGCAAATACAGTGATTGCTGCTTAGTCCATTGCAGTCGGGCAACGATAAAATTCAACATAAGCAAAACTTGAGAAATTGAAGGTTTGTAAACTATTTTTTAACATATGTTATTTTGTCACGGGGATCAAGTTACGTAGTAGTACTATAATTAAATCAGTTTCAAGGCACAGCTGGAACAGAAGGCTGTTTGTCATATTGTGCCAACGTTTCTTTCTTATGAGTTACCAACCTTTCTTTTACAGCAGGTCATCACAACACGGAAAACTGCTCGCTCTTCTACAGCCGGGAAAATAAAGTGTGTAGTAGAGTTTTGAAACTTCGGAACCGGAAAGATGAACACAAACTATCTGATAATAGAAAACTATGAAAAGTAAACTGAATTGTGTTTGGAAATGAATGGAAGGGGGCTGGGAATATACAAAAATAAGACGGTGTGCACGGTTTTGTGGAAGCAACACAACCAGGCTGAACTACTGGCCATCTTGAAAGCCTGGGCCTGGTCAGAAGATAACCGAAACTGCATTAGCTAAAGAAGCAGCAAATAGTTCATAAAAACAATCTTCCACCAAGTACCTTTTAGTTACTACAGGCTAAGACAAGAAGAGTATAACTTGAAACTGGGAAAACGTTTGGGCGGCAGCAACTATAAAGGAAAATACATCAAAATGTTCTTTCAGACGGTAGCTGATCGTATGAAATGTGAGTTCAAGCTAAATTACAAAGCACTCAAGTACTGACAGGCCATGGGAAAACCAAGCTTACCTCTCATTATAGACACTCCTTGATGTCGATGTAAAAAACTAGCTGAACAAACATGGGATCACATCCTTAAAAACTGTCCGTTATTCAAGAAACAGAGATCTCCATTTGAGCCACATGTCATAACTCCAGGGGATAACTGGCCAGCATGGGACCATCTCATGGCTTAACTTAATGTGACACAAGAACCAATAATTGTATTTATCTGTATGTACACTAAATAATGTTTTGTATTCAGCATGAAGTAATTTACTGAAGTATGTAAATAAATGTGTGGTGATTAGTGACCGTTAATCGATAATTATTCAGAAATCGTGAGATGCAGTCTGGTGTGAGAGAGCCCTCTCAACACGACACACAAGTATGGCACAATTACACAGAAGTCAAACACTTTGAACCCTGAGATGATCTCAATAAAGATCGAAACGTTGACACGATAAAGAAAATGTTTTTCTGAAACCTACATCACACCAGACAACATCTCACGATTTCTGAATAATTATGTAAATAAAGGGAAAACTGCTTATTTCTATTTTTCTCGCACTGGATTAACTTAAAGGCAACAATGAATTATCTGGTAAAAAAAAAAAACGAAAAGCCAATTCGGTTCTGCCCTGCAACTGAATTATCTGCCGAAAAGGACTAGCCGGCGATGAATTAAGTGGCAACCACTGTATCTATTGAGCTTTTTTTTTTCTTCTTCTTCAAACCACCTTCGCAAGCCAGTCAAATTTTTGAGTGAATCTTCTCTAGAAATTTGTGGACCAGATGTGTGGTTTCAACAGTTGGAAATTTTCTTATCCAATAATGAAATATCACAATTTCAAACATCTAAATCTTTTTCATTAAAGAAATATCAAGCCAATACTGAGCATAATGATGTGGCAATATATTAACAAAGTTGTTCAATATAGTGAAGGGCATTAATTAATTATTTGGAAGGCACAATGGAAATGTAATAAATAAACTTAATCTTTCCTTACTCGCCCCTTTCAAAGTCTGGATAAAAATATATTTATAAACATCTTTTAAAAATATCAGAATTTTGAAGAACTATGGGGCATCACAAATAGAAATAAATAGAATAGTAAAAAAAGATTATACTTATATATATACATGTTATTTTTGGTGAATTCCATAACAGGATGTCATAGTTTAAGAGCGAAAATTGACAATAAACAACAAACTCAAATAGCTGACTGCTTAATGTTTTGCCTTGTTTTCACTCCTGGCTTCAACAGCTACATAAACTCATCCGAATCATTTCCATCCTTGTTAGATGTCATATTTTCTGGTTTCATTAGTCTCGTGTAACTCCTGGCAATTGTTAGAACATAAGTAGCATCAGAGATCAGGATCATATTGCAAATATATACCATAATTCAGCCTCTTCTTGCTTTCTCCTTTCTTCTTCTTTCTGTTTCTCTCTCAGTTCTCTTTGTATTCTTTTGTTGTCCTCCCTTTCTTTCGAGTCTCTTGCCTCTCTTTCTGCTCTGAAATTAGGGTGTTCCTCTCGCTTGGTTTTGTTAAGGCGTTTAACAACTTCATTTAAACGTTTGGCTACACGAATTTTTCTAACCTTTAACATAAAATTATTTAATAATTTTCCTATAGAGAAATAATGGCAATGAAATAGACACTGACTTCTTTTTCCTTGTGGTAAGCAACCTGGCCTGGCTCCATGGCTGGTGTTTTTTTGAGGTTTGACCACATTGTGTAAATAACATCAACATCGTTCATTTTATTCCCTGTGATGCTATTGGCCTTAACAAGCTGTGCAGCATCATCCAATACTGCCGATGGAATATCATCAATAGTTTGACCCTACAACATAAGTCAATATACTAACGCAGAGTTTTTTATTTAAACAATTTTTTTATTTATACAAAACAACTACACAATAATATATAATTAGATTAAAAGAAGATATCTTATAATCTTTTTAATTGAAAAAAAAAAAAAAATGGTTATTCAGTCTGGAAATTATTGACTAACCGTCTAATAAAAATATTAATATTTCTTGGATTGACACTTTGTTGTGAGTTGTGTTCACGAGGAAGGTCCTAGGATCACATTTGAGTTTAAAATAAACCACGAGGAGGAAAATGTTTTCACTGACTAGCCTGACCATTTCAACTAAATGGAAATACAAAACATTAATTACAATACATTTTATCCTACATAGTAGTATTGTAAGACTGAGTTCAATTTTACTTTTTACAAGAGTCCACCCCGAGAAATAAGAAGTATTTTGGGATGAATGAGCGATATCTACAGAATAAAAGTGAGGAATATTGACTACTCTGGCAGAGTGAATGTGACCAGACTTCGATATTTGTACTGGATTGTGATGGGATACCAATGTCATAGGAATATCGAGTACTACTGAACTGTGTGTTCGATTCCAAAATGATGTGCTGTGGCTTTGGAAGAACCGTGCAATTTTTAATTTTTTTCCAGGGCGGTATACCACTCTGGATTGGTTTGGAAGATGGGGTTCTTGTGCCCTGGTGGGTAACACCAACTCTCCATCTCAACCTACAACCTTTAAAATTTTCCCTCTTAGCTAGCTAGATAACAACTACTTACTTTTGAATTATGTACTTCATTAATCCTCTCACATCATACATTCACACTTCTAAATACTATTTAGTAAATAGTTACACAGTAACAGAACACACAACTGTTGCAATAGATGTTATTTGTCTAAAAATTAGAAAATTGAATCCACAAATTGCTGCCTTGGTCAATAACAATTTTTATATGTAACTATATGATTATTCACTCCCTATATAGAGCCAAATCCTACATAATGAAAAAAGCACCTTACCTTGTCTCCATGTTATTAATAGACATGCTATCTTTACATTTCGCCAGACATTTTTCTACACGCTTCAGAAAGAGAAAAAAAATCATCCCTGAAGTGCATTCGGTTGTAGATACCAAACCACTTACAACCACCAATGCTTAGAGTTTTTTACAACATATTTTTTTCATATTGCAACAAAAATTACATACCTCTCGAAGCCTTAGGTAAACATGAGCCGATGACACTTTATCCACATGAAACCAAACATCTTCTGGCCAGCCCCATTTAAGTAGTTCTTCATCTGTGGTGAAAATAATTAAAACCATTCACGTTTAAGATAAATTTGAAATGATAAAAATGGATAAAGCTGTACTTACTTTCGTATTTGTCAAATCCCATAAATAAGGTGACAGGTGGTGAAACGACTGTAGAAAAACATGTTGACCATCAAGACATTTCTTAATTTAATATTAAGGTTTTTATTTAAAATCCATTTTCCTTGGATTGAAAAAGAATTACCTGTACTCTGAAAATAATATACCATATTTTTTGTTAGTGTTATCAACGATTTATGTTTTTAAAAGTAATAAATTTCGACGTTGGCCTCCAGCCTGCCGTTCAATCAGGGTAACAGTCTCAGAATAATGAAACGTGAGGTTTTGACATTGTTTCTAAATTCATTGATTTTTCTCTTATTGATTCAATTTTGAACTAAAAAATTTTTAAAAAGTTGCTTAGAACAATTTTGAATAAAAATAACAAAAATAGCTAAATAAAGGTTTTCACTAAAAATGAACAAATAAAAATATATTTCACTCACTTTTTAATTTTGTCGAGTGTGCTTATTTACATTTGGAATTTAAACTTTTTCGATTTTTATTGTAGTATTTCATCTCAGAAGACTATTGTGTGTCCATGTTTTTACTACAATTCATGTTTATATTTATTTAGACGTTTTCTTAAGTAGGGAGAGAATTGTTCTAAATCAACTTTCTGCCATGTGAACAACAAATATTTTGCTTTATTTTTTTATTAATTATTATTTTATAATAATTGTTTTATTATAATTACTGGCATTTAACCCTTTACATGGTTGAGATAAAAAAGTCATTGTCACTCATGCATATCTCCCTGGGCGGCTGTGCGGGTGCGGCTGCAGCACTCCGTCTGTCTCTTGGGAAAATAGGTATATAGCTAATGCCGAAAGGTTAGGCAAAAAAAACAACTTTTACATGTATAACACAACAAACACAATACAAAACAAATGCTAACCACAGTCCTGACCACTGTGGTCCAGCCCTCTAAGGCATTTTAAATGCAAAAAATGTATTAAAAAACATGATTTATAGAAAGTAGCTGTGTCAGTTGGCTAAGTTGCTATAGAAGCTCTCACTTATCATCATGCTTATCAAGCATCGTTGATCAGTGGCCCTTGGAGGATCTGATTCATAGGGTCATCCTCACCCGATTAGGTATAGGTCATGTGAGATTGACACACGGACACTTACTTTTGCGCCAAAGCTGATGTATGTGTTCAGCATGTGAGAGAGGTTGCTCAATGACTCTCACTGTGTCAATCCTTGGGTCTCTATAGAGAGCATATAGGAACGCCACCTTGTATAAGAATTGTGCTTCAGCACAGCAGTGCGTCCATTGTTCCGATTTTTAGTTAAAACAGGGCTTTTTATTGCATATGGTACTTATAGTTATGTGTGAGAGAGAATGTACTAATTGGTATGTATGAATATTGAGTACTCCATCAACCGTCATTAAGTTAGTTACTTAAAAAGTATAAAGGGAGTTCTTATAGAGAACTCCACCCTGAGTGAATGGTATATGTAAATAAGAAATAATGTGTGAATGGGTTTGGATTTAGGAACTGATTGCACTGGGTGCTGAAATGACTAGCTGTTTAAAACCCCTGGAGGCCAAATCCAGTGGCTGAACGGATAAGACCGAGGTCTGACTCTGGACTGCCAACACAGGGCGAGTGATTCTCGAGGTCTGCCAATGATTCATTGTTGCTGGTGGATTGCAAGAAGTGATAGGTTCAACAAAATAATTGCTATCATAACATTAAAAAAAGAAATGTATACATATTTACAAGAAGCTTTACAAACTAAAATATGTGTATATAAACAAAATAAATTAATATGAAGAAATTAATAAAAATACTACATAACAAAAAATATAATATTAATAGTAGAAAATAGTACATAACATGACAGAGTAAATAAAATGGGAACAAGTTGATAGGTGAAACATGGTCACTTATTAAACATAGATAAAGAGAACCAAAAACCTTTTTTTTTTTCTTTTTTTTTAACTCTTAGAAGCATTTTACCTTTATCTATTCTAAAATAACTTTATTTAACATTACCACAATCCATATTATGTTATGGGATTACGGTGTGGAGAAGAACTAGTAAGCATATATTAGAGGCCCTAAAAGGCATTAAAAATGTCTAATAAAAAGAATTTTAACTAAACCAAGAAGATACAACACTAAGTTATTATACTAGGAATTTAAAGTTTCAAATTTAAAACAATTATTTTTAAAATGTTTGTCTTCATGTATTTAAATATAAATTATTTCACCAATCCTCAAACTTATATCACACAAAGTTAAACTGAATGATTTACAGAAAATAAGTACAACTTAATGCTTCAATTTTTTTTTATAACAGGGTACTTAAATATACTTATGAAAATAAAATTAATATCAGTAATTTCAGAACTTTAGTCAGCTACAAAAATTTATACATTAATTATTAAGTTTCTCAAAGTTTGTTTTGCATCTTAATATTTTTAATCTCGCTTTGCAATTCAGCACTATTCCTAAACTAATAATGTTTGAGTTTAATGTTCTGATTCTCTGATGTCATGATAGCTATGTCCTTCATTTAAAGTGAATTGCGTGCATCTCTCAATTTCGTGGATTTCAGCTTGAAAGGTACTGTGGACTTTCACATTGGCTCCATTTGGTTTCGGGACTAAAACTCCTGACCCTACCTTTTAATCTTTCTTTTTTTGAACGTACAACTACCCTTTGAGTGTCACAGACTGGTGGTCAAACCACTTTACGATATTTCTTTCATACTATTCTCAATTAAAAATCCATGGGCCAGGATTCAAACCCAGGTCTGCTAGCATGGCAAATACGAGTCAGACGCCCTACCCACTCGGGCACTGTGGCATATGTTATATCAATTTTCTATTAAAAGGCTTGTATGCTTGAATTTTGTATTTCTACTCTAAAAAGCTGCTACTGCTGTACACCACGGTGGTGAATCAGTGCTCACCTATTGATGATGTGCTTCATTTTGGTTGTCCAAACTATTGTACAAAAAATACCCAGTCAATTATAGACATTTGAACATGTACCATGGACTACTAGTATGTCAAATGTCCCTTCTATTATAGGTAGATTATAATAGATCACAAACACAAAGACTAATCAAGAATTAAAATCCTGATAAGAAATTATGTAATATTTACCTATGGACAGACTAGATAGGCAAGCTAGATCTTGAGTTCACACAAACCATACCATACTTCTTAAAAAGAGTAGCAATTAAAGAAAACTCTTACTGTCAATTAAAGCATACAATCAGGTATATTGCCAGATATGCACGGAAGAAAGTACATGTGTAAAAAATCAAATATGTATTCAGAACCCATAGACATATACACCAATAGCATTAAATTGAAAGGAACGTGAGTGAGATGGGCTCATGGGAAGGACAAGCAAAAACTGGAATTTAACATTCACCATAATTATTGACCAAACTTTGAAGGAAATTTGATAATAAATGAAAACAAATTCAATACGTTGGTTCTAGTGCTATATTATAAAACTTGGAATACAAACCATCTGTTGTTTAAGTTCATGTCCTTAAAAACAGGAAATTATTTTAATTTGTAAATCTATTATGACGGAACATTTTAATTGGATAAATCTCATCTTACATTAGAATTATGTCTTATAAGGCCATTTATAATGTTTCAGGGGTACACAATTTTGAAAAAGTGAAGAGTTTATTTTGACTCTATCTATTCAGACATAGCATCCTGTTTGAAAACTGGGATTGGACACAATTGCTTTGCGGATGCCCATTCAAGGTCTCAAGGGTTTCCTCAATGTTGATTACATGTCCAGCCTATAAACTGTTTAGCAGAGGCGTCTAAATTATGACAATAACAGTTTGCCTCTATTACTAAGACTTCCTTTTCTTGATAGCCATTGTCTTTTACACTACATTTGTTCAACTATTCACGTGTCAAATATTCATGAGACAATTTAAATGAGAATTGGACAATTATATTGTAAGACAAAGAGCGCATGCTTGAAAAAAATGAATTGAGTTCATCGTTCCATTTCGATTTTATCTTATAATAGCAATAATTAATTAACAAAAAATAAGAGATTGATTTCATATCAATTATTTGTGCCAGTAATTACATCAAACAGATAATGGTAATGGTGGCTGGATAATCGGTACGTATGGCATACTAACATTTAAATTAAAAATGATATTTACAACAACTAAACTAAAATCACATCCAATTTAATTAATTAATGATTACAAAAGTAAAAAAAAGTGTATAAAAATTTGAATTCATGATGCAATTCTTTTTTAAAACCAAGCAATATTCTTTCATTTCACCCCTAACAATGTTTTATTTAGTTTAAACTAATAAATTCCAAAAGCTTAAAGACAAAATGTCATTGTGATTTTTTTATTACATCAATTATAAGGTTATAAAAGTGAAACATTTAATATTTTTATATTACATTCTTTCATACTTTTTATTGTACAACCTTAAGCTGGTAAAAACTTAAGGTGATCTAAATTTTTGGTTACTTAACAAGTATTTATTATTTACAAAACTTGTGAAATTTTCACTAAACTCGCCAATTTATATTATTTATAAGCATGTATTTATTATTATATAAAGTAAATGTATAACTCAATATAATTTTATATTAAACTCAGAGATAAGGCCAATTTGCAATAAAATAAAGCACTCAGTTCCTCCTTCACGCTTTCAAAGAATTTCTCCTTTTCTTCAGGGCTTTAAAACTATTGTTAATAATTTACAAAGTTGACAAATTTGAACATTTGCTTACAGAAATTCATGATTTCATGGGCAAGATGAACCACCCGTCCATTCTATTGTTGAAGAAAAAAGAACTTTAATCTAGTATATTATTAATGTTAGTTTCAATGTTCTGAAGGGTGTCTATTCCTTGGAAGCTGAACATAGGAACTTAGTGTTTTCTTTTCTTTTGAATTGGACATATCCCAAATTTTTATCCCTAAATATGACTCCTTCTGATCCTCTTTAACTTAATTATTAATTGTAGGTCGATCTCAACATACGTAATTTGTTATATAAAATTACAATGGTGATATTAAATAAGATATATCATTATATAAAAGTGATGTGACAAACCAGTATAAATGACAATAAATAGTACAAATTTCTTCATAGAAGTTTCATTAGTGCAGTAAATACAAGAAAATGAATTAATGTAAAATGCAAACTAGATATGTAAGCCACAATTTAATGTACTTCTATACTTTTAAATAATTTATATATTTAATACACGAGTACAAACAAAGTAAATGTTTGTGACACATTATTTAGCATTATTGAGATAAGTACAACGTTTATAAAAAGTTGAATAAATAAATCATTGCTTTTTATTTTTTAATGATTTTTGAACATACAACCAAATGTACATGTCCGAAATTCAATTTTCAAGAAGGATAAGCATATAATATCGCAACTTTGAAGCTAGAACGTTCATAAAGTTAATTATTTTATTCTAAAAAGAAAGTTTGACAAATTCAAGCAATTACCTTTTCTATGGAATTGGCACAAATGATTAGGGTCAAGCTCAATGTTTGTGAGGAGTATAGTGTGTGTCATGTTGAATGGCAATAAGGGCTCAATGGGCTAACTGCTAATATCCTGTGTCACAGCTCAAACCTCTGCAATACTCTGCCAGTCTCATCAAGCTTTGGTCACAGGAGGAACTACTTTTGACCACTGCTAAACCGCCGTAAGGTGGTTTTCCTGACCATTTCGAATTTGTCTCCGCTGATTTTAATTAGTCTATAACACTCAAGTTTTAGTGCGTTATCATTCATACAGAATCTATAGACAAAATTATGGCTGAAAAGAAGAAAGAAGAAAGTGGTTTTTATATTCCACCCCCTCAAATCGATGCCTGGGTTTCTTTTAAATTATTTCTTTACAATCCTGAGACAAACCAGATATTTGGAAGGACTGGACCAAGTTGGGGTAAGAAATGAGATTTATATTTTTAACTGTGGAAAACATGCAAAATTAATTCTTAGGCGGTTTCAGCCAAAATTGGAACATATTATTTAACATTTTATCTTGTTCTTGCGTCTCTTTTTGGTATTATGTTATGGATATTTTACCACACTCTAGATCCAAGAGTGCCAAGATGGCAATTAACTGAATCTTTAATTGGCCAAGATCCAGGTCAGTAATTTTTTTGCAGCTTGACACTATAAAACCAATCAAAAACCAAAACTTTGACAGGTCTTGGATTCCGTCCAATGCCAAATGATAGTGACACAAAAAGTACTTTAATTTGGTATCAAGGAAAAAGCCGACAGTCCTATGAACTCTGGACAAAAAGCTTAGAAGAATATCTTGAAGGTGCTCAGTGTTAAAGTCTTCACGGTAATTTTTAAATTAATTTATTTTCACAGTTTATAGAAAACCAGGGTTGACACCTGGAAGAGGTCAGAATATATACAATTGCGATTACGATCGACCTCCTGGGAAAGGACAAGTTTGCGATGTTGATGTCAAGAATTGGTTCCCCTGCACAGCAGAAAACAGTTTCAATTACCATCAGTCAAGTCCTTGTGTCTTCATTAAACTAAACAAGGTAAAAACTATTCAAATTTAAATATCTACCTGACCTTCAATTTTGATGACCATTTTCCTACCATTGTTTCTATTTTCAGATTTATGGCTGGCAGCCTGATTATTATAATGAAACTGAGGATTTCCCTGATAATATGCCTGAAGAATTAAAAAATCATATTGTTCATCTAAAGTATAATAATCCTGAATTGGTAAATGAATTATAATAATAAATATACAATTATAATACATTGCTTTATGTTTACAAAAAAAAGTTTGTGTAAGATAAAATGATGTAAACCTTTATTAATTTTGATAAAATTAAGATACTTAGCTTTAAAACATATGTCAATATTTAAAATCAAATATTTAGACTACAATGTTAATTTATAATTAATAGGTTTCATTTTGTAAAGCCCACCAAAAATGAATTTAATATTTTGGCTAACCCAAGCTATGACATAAAGTTTGTAAATGCGAATAATTTAACAAATTATTTATTTCTTACAAAGAAAATATACATATGTAACATCTTAACATGCTTGAATGTCCATTTTTCATAGAAAAGTAATTGTGACTAAATCAGCACATCCCATTTAACTCCAATCAACAAACACTATAATTTGCTAACTAACTGTAAATTAACATGACAGAAATGAAACAAAAAATCCGTAATTACACAAAACGTTCAGTTTAAATAAGAGAAGCCATTTATGTGACTTCTTTATTTATTAAAACAGCAATATTTATCTATTAGTAACTGTTGACATTTTTTTGTTTTAACTTAACGTCTTGAAATTTTAGGTTAAGACTGTATGGGTAAGTTGTGAAGGTGAATCCCCGATTGATAGAGAAAATATGGGAGAAGTGAATTATATTCCTAGGCAAGGGTTTCCTGGATACTTTTATCCGTACATGAATACAGAAGGGTATCTCAGCCCATTGATGGCAGTTCATTTTAAAAGGCCCAAAAGTAATTTGCTACATACAATTCAAGTAAATTCAATAATTTCTATATAATTTATTTATTATGTTCTTTTTTTCAGCTGGAGTTATAATAAACATTGAGTGTAGAGCATGGGCCAAAAATCTGATTCATGACAGAAAAGAGAGAATAGGAATTGTACATTTTGAACTTCTGATAGATTAGAAATTGTACATAATAATAATAGTTCCAAAACATCATTCTTATTCAAATTCAATTTGTACTATAATGTCTTAATGCTGCCATATTGGTTTTTGTACTAAACAAACAAACAAAAGATCTAGCAAAAGTACTTTTATGGTTCTGATATTCAGAACACAATCATAAAAATGGAACCATGTAAAAATAAAAATTAAAAAAAAAACTGTTAGACTTAATACAGTTAAACTTTTATTTATTGATATTTCCTTTGGCATCCTCACAAAGTTATCTAATTATTAATAAATAACTTTTACTAACAGTGTTAACATTGTTAGTTAATTTTCTTATTTTACTAATAAACCCATAAATTAATTTAGCCATATGTGAATCCTGGCCTGGATCCGTCTTTACTAGCCTAGAGGGTTTGTTGAATTACTCAAACATGTTTTGACATTGTACCATCTTCAGTGAGAATAGTTTGAATAACTTCGATTACGCGTCGTGTAATCTATTTGATTCTCGGCGACAAATGAAATGGCCATGGAGAGCTTTAGTGAAGGTATACTTCATTTTAAACTTATTAAATTCACTAGTTTCGTGGTCTGCTTGACCAATTAATATCTTTCAATTAATTAAGGCTTTTAGTTGAGATAAAAAAGGTTGAAAGATATTAATTGGACAAGCGGACCACGAAAACTAGTGAATTTAATAAGATAAAATGAAGTATATGTTCACTAAAGCTCTCCGTGGCCATTTCATTTGTCGCTGAGAATCAAATAGATTACAGATGTCCGAGTGGATCGAAGTCACGATAGCTCAAGTGGTAGAGTTGCAATGTATCTAGCCAGGGTTCAAATCCCACTTGTGACACTGACTTTTTTAACTCAGCTAAAAACCTTAATTAGTTTGAATAACCCAGTGCCAGTTGAACACAAGTGCACCAACTTGCAGACCAACACCCAGCATCAACTTCAATTATGATTTATTTTACACTGGGAAAAAAAAAGTAAATCAACCACCACACATCAAAAAATATAGGCAAATTTCAACAGTTTATTTATTTATTTACATTCACATAGACAGACAAATGTCTATAAAATACAAATATACATCTCGTATAAATAATAGAAAAAATAAAACAAATATTAGAATTTTGATAAATAACACATAACCAAAGTAATGCAAAAACAAAACTAAACCCACTTTAACAAAAGTAGAAGAAATGCAATCTTATTTTATAATAAAATCCTAATTTTAATTTTCATTAAATATAAATATTGAAACCAACATATAAATATATCCATATTTGCTTAGTCAAGTAGAATTAGTAGGTCAATTATGACCATACTAATTATTCTAATTAATTATTATTTTCATCTAAGGTTTTTGGTTGATATGAAAAATTTTAGATAAAAAGAATAAATTAATTGGAATATAAATATATTATGTATCCTCAGTGATGAATATGTATCCTCCACACTACTTTATACTTTTTTCTGATAGTTTTTACACCCAAAGGCAATACCATAAAATATTGTAACTGAAACTTGGGACAAAAAAGATTTCATGGTTATAAATAAACTTTATTTACATAGCTTTTACAAACTTTCTTTTTAATAGTACAAATAGGAAAAACTTAGGATTGATAATTCTCTCTTTTTTATAAACAATCAAAATGCAGGTTGTCATGTCATCTGAATATTAATGGTTCTAATATTTGGTTTGGTCAATACTTTCTTTTAAGTAATATCACAATTTAATGATTATAGTAGTAAAATAATAATAACCATAATAAACAATGAAAAAAAAATTATTGCCTAATATTAGTTATGTCTTGTGGGTAGTAATGTCTTAAAATGTTGAAAAAAGTTCATAAGAACAAAATGTTAACATTTTAAAACATATCTAAAAATAAAAATTTAATATATGAAGATTAGATTCTCTACCACCCAATTTTTAATTTTCAGTCTCAAGTAAAGTGCAATTTGATGCCAATTCATGGCATTGTTCAATGTAATCATTCCTTCTTTTAGTATAAGCAGCAGCATCAAAATAAACTGGATTCTGAAATGTAATATTATTACTTACTTATTATTTTATAAACTGGGGTATTAACAACATTGTCAATAAACTTTAACAAACAAAAATCAACCTGTTATATTTACAATTATATTATAAATTAACATTATTTAACAAAACACAAGTGAATTCTTGGGTTATTTATTAGGCATAAGAAAACACGAAGGATAGTAAATGCATCCATAAATTTGGTAAGATGGAATAGATTAATTATTAATTATATTAATAAAAGACATACAAAGCAAGTTATTGGTGGATTAATTTGCATTTCACACGTCTTCCTATTTAAGAAGAACGTATGGCTTATGGCCATTATAGACAGGCTTAAATACCTCCTTCGTTATATTTGGAAATTGGGCGCAAATTTTTTCCCAATCTGCTGGATATTTTAATGATGCCTTGGACGAGGAACAGTCCATTAAAAAATGCTTCGTATACTCTATGCAAGGAGCTGAAAATTTAAAAACAAAACAATGTATCTGTTAATGAAAGTGTTCAGTTTTATAAAAACTTCTTAACATTTAACGATTATTTGAAGAACGTGAGATGCAGTCTGGTGTGACATAGGTTTTAGAAAAACATTTTCTTTATCATGCCAACGTTTCGATCTTTATTGAGATCATCTCGAGCCTGGGATTTATACAGGGTACAAATACTATGATTGAATCTAAAATATCTAGCTTGTATAAATTCATTTTTTCACATCTACTTGTATTTGCATAATTTAAACAATGTTTATAAATCCCTGGCCCTGAAGATGATCTCAATAAAGATCGAAACATTGGCATGATAAAGAAAATATTTTTCCAAAACCTACATCACACCAGACTGCATCTCACGATCTCCAAATAATCATGAACTAACGGTCACTAAACACCACACATTAATATTTAACTTTTTTCATAAATAAAAACAGAAACCCAATAGTTTATATACAAGAGGTATTTAAGTAATTATTTATTAGTGGCAAATCAAAGACGTACTAGTTTTTTTTTTTTCAAACTAACAACAAATGAAAAGCATGCCAATAAAATAAGATATAATTCATGTCTGCTTTTGTAAAACTGACCTTTTGGTTTCAATGGCACTTCTTTTTCTTTAGGAGATACTTCTTTGTCATTTCCCTCATATCCTATTAATATACAAGCATAAATAAAAAATCCGTTTAAATGATAAAAGACCAAAGCCATATATGTAATATTATTACAAACATATGTGAAAGCAAGCGTGCAATGAATATTCTTATAATTTAATTGGATTTATAAACGGTTTTGTAAAATTCATGTTATCACTCTATGAAAAGTACATACAAAATAAATAGTAACAGTATGTAACATTAGCCTCTTATTATTATTATTTTTTTTTTTTTAACTCAAAACCTTAAATATTAAGGTTGATCTTTAAATATCCCAGCTAATAATTTAATAAAAGTATCACTTTTCTTCTACTCACCTAAAGAAACTTCTTTTTCTGGTGAGTCTTTAGATTTTTGGGAAGAATTTTCAACATCTATTAACAAAAATAAGACGGTACGATCATCAACACAATCTTAATCCATAAAATAATTATTTAATTTGTTTAGATGAAATTAAAATAGTCGTTCTAATGCATTGATAATATACTGCTCCAAAAAAAAAAAGGTGCACATTGAAATTCTTATGTAAATCATCAACAAGGGCATTTAATTCTTTAAGAACGCCTTTGATCACTATAGTGTTAAACGAAACAAAATGATTATGAAAATGTCCATAACCACATAACCAGCAAGCAAGTAGCTTGTGCGTACCATTGCACCCACTGAGGTTTAAAAAAGTCAGCCGCATTATGCGCAAGTTTTAGGTTTGCATAAAATGGTGGTCTGTCTGGCCATATACCAGGATTGGGATATCAATGAGATATGTCAGATTTATCAGGTTGCACAATGATAAATCACTTTCCAACTTGGCTTCTGAAAAGTCTCTGAGTCAAGGAGATTTGCAGAAATGAGTCTACTCCAACGCTTAACAGAGCTATTGGTGACATGGCTTAAAAGAATGGAGGAATGTTTTCAGATAAGTGCCAGTTTTCTCTCCATTCATCAGACAGACATCTTCGAGTTTTTTGAGCAGTTGGAGAGAGCTACAACCAATGCAACATTGTTGGAAGAGTGCTGTTCGTTGGTGGTTCAGTTATAGTGTGAGGCAGAATTTCTTTGGAGGCAAAAATGGTGTTACATTTTTAATATGTTTATTACTTAATGCAGAAATATAAGTGACAAACATTTTTGAGAAATATGTAGTGCCAAGTGCTCCTTTTATTGATGAGAAATTCTTGTTTTCCGGGACAATGCAAGATCACATAATTTTGCAGTACCTTCATGATGTCAATATTCACACTAAGATGGCCAGCCATTAGCCTGATTGGAACCCCAATGAGCACTATTGGGAATAGCTCAGACATTGGATAAAACTAAGAACTAACCATCCTACAACCTTAGCTGAGCTGAAAGTTATGTTAGATGAGATTTGGGATGAAATTCCTCAAGACATGGTTAAGGCTTAATTTATGAGCATGCTGAAAAGATTGGAGTGTTTAATAAGAGCAAGAGGTGATGACACACCCTATTAAAAAAAATTAAATTAATGTTTTGTTTTCGAGAAGCATTTTTATTTGAACATTAAGCAATTATTTTAATAAATACCTGAATTATAAAAAATACAGGTCTTCCTGAAAAGGTAAATAAATACATTTATAAGTATGTGCCTTATCAACACTTTAACCATTGTGCCCACCGGCTCCACCCATTTTAAATCATTTTACACATTATTTAATTATTAAAAAAAATAGATTATATGTTAAATACATACAAGAATCAATTTTGTTTCCTCTAACAGGCTCTGTGCAAGGATTTTTGTGAATATTATTGCCTATAATCATGCAATTTGGTTAGTGAAAGCCATTTCTTGTTATTAACAAGTGCGTTACCAGTTGATTTAAAAGGATCTATTCTCCAACCTGTGTTTGACTTTAATGGCCCTTTCTCATAATTATTAGCTTGAAGCGAAAAAGCAAAACAAAAAGTATGTTACGTTACAGTTTGGTGGAAAATGTCCAAAAGTAAATATGTAATAAATTTATTTTTACATACGTCCAATTGAATGAAGGCATAAATTAATTTAATTTCAAGAAAACAAGCTTGTTCTATTAAAAATAAATTATAAAGCTCTATTATAAATAAATAATACATGTAACTCACTTTTAAGTAATTCTTCAGTTTTCTCTTTAGCGTTCCTTCTTGGCGGACTATCATATTCTAACAAAAATAACAATAATATTTAATTCAAATAAACTTCATGAACAGACATTAATCATACAATTTAACGAGTTACCTTTGAATTCCATTCCTTTGAAAGAATGTGATCTATTTACTGAAGATGTTTGTACATTTTTCGTTTCGTTTTCATGGACTGAAACGACAGAAGAGATAAAATATGATTTGAAATCCCAATTAAATTACTAATTTAAGTATTTTTAATTTGAAATATGATTAATAGGCACTAGGCTGTTTTAATCTTCAGATGATCAAAATAGCATTTAAAAAATACAACTAATATAAAGCAAAGATAATTTTGGAATGTTAGTAATAACCCCCAATATATACCTAATGGGAATTCCATGAGGGGGCAATAAATTATTAACTTGACATGCATTTATTATTTTATAAACTCACTACTATGATTACTCTATCGCAATATTATTCTCTACTGTGCAATTGTTTAAGGAAACCACCAGAAGAACCACCACATTAAACATTAACATTGACACTCAAAATACAATAAAATGTCCATTAAACTTATTAAATTTTGGTTAAAGATTGTGAAAGATATATGAAAATCTTACCAAGCAAGATTTGAGCTCATTTAATAAATTAATTGTTTTAAACTAAGAACCCAATATTATTTGAAATGATTGTTTTAGGGCTTTCTGACTTTATTGTCACAGTTGAGCACCCTCTTAAATTATAACAAATAGCCAACAGCAAATACAAACCATACAAGTATACATAATACATAGAGAGAAGTATGGAAGAATATAGAGATGATAAGATCTAAATATAATTTGCCAATGAAATACAAGCAACCTTACCACAGTGAAAACGGTGCTGTGTGTATTATAAAATAAGTACACACATTCAATAAACAGACAAAGCCAATATTTACTAAAGGCTACCACAGACATAAACAGGCACAAGGGCATGAGTGCGTGTGTGCTCGCATACACATTTGCATGCACACACACAACACAACCTGTGCATACAACCCAATCACCAGGTTTTATAATGAAGACATGAAACTAATTATAAAATCTACCACTAAGCAAATTTCCATATACATGTATCATACCTTAAGAGAATATCCTGTATGAATTTTATCCTGTCACTTGTAATGCTATGTACACAGGGGAAATTCAGTTAAAATTAAAATTTTAATATTAGCAAGGGCAATGGTAAAATTGACTTGTTAGATTTCTTTTTTAAAAGAAAGGAGAAATTCAGTGTCACACATATAAAAACATAAAACATTAAGAAGGGGTCAGAAATATTACAAAGAAAATCAACACTGCTTACTATTGTTTGGGAATACTTCCTTCGTACTGTTTACATACAGTGCCTCTTGGAGGACTAAAAATAAAAACAAAAATGAAGCTTTTTGTTAAGATTACATTAATTAGGTGCGAGCACTGCTGCACTTTCAATTAGATTATATCACCTGCATTGTTAATTGCATTAACACTTTCATCAATAAGCGTAGAACTTGCTGAATTTACAAAATCAGGATCCAGATCATCGTTGAGAAACAATTGTGCTCTTCAACAAATACAATTAAAAAGCTGAGTTCTAGAACAACTGTAAATATTTTAAATAAATAGTTTAAATACTTATGTATGTTTTGTGGGCCTCCACTCTTTTTTGGTAAATATTGTTCAAGCAAAACCTTAGCATTCTGAAAAAAATTGAGTTATTAAATAACTAATTAAAATTAATTATTTAAAGCGTAACCAGACAGAAAGCAAAATCTGACCGAGGGGTTCTAGTAGCAAAACGTATTTTACATTAACCCTGCCAGTCTGTACTTTACCTATCATTTTCTGCCATGATTTTCCCATGAGACTAGATTAAATTCAGTGGTCAAATAGAATATCTAATCAAATAATAATTAAATATTTACATAATAAACAATGGTATTCTTTTAATTATTCTCTATTCTTATTACAAGCACCCGATATTATCTTAAGAGTCGTTCTTTCATAATCAATAACAATACAAAAATAGTTGTGTGAAAACGCACTATATGCTCTCTAGAAGTAAGGAGTTAGAGTGACCGCTCACACATTCTATCACAATTTATGTGATAGATCACTTTCTGCTGTGACATATCGCTTTCTGTCTAATGAGCCTTTAGTGTTTTAAAAATGATAACATTTCACATTTTAACCCACGAAGCCCCCATCACATACTTAAATATTCATAAAGAGCATCCATTCATTTAAAAAAATTATGTGTGGTGATTAGTGACCGTTAGTCAATGATTATTTGGAGACTGTGGGATGCAGTCTGGTGTGACATAGGTATTAGAAAAACATTTTCTTTATCGTACCAGCGTTTCGATCTTTATTGAGATCATCTTCAGAGCCTGGGATTTATAAACATTGTTTAAATTATACAAATACATGCAAGATGTGAAAAAAAATTATATTTACTAAATATCTTGTTTTCTTAAATCTCTAAAAAATTGTTGTTCTAAATAATAGTTCAATGCACACTTGTCAGGTTTTGCTGGTCCTAGCAACTGAACAAACACCCCCAGTATGCATTTTGCTCACCCTGTGTTACGGCACCGCACTGCAACTGTGGAACTGGACGGGAAAAATTGCATGTATGCATCGGGCTTGAAGTTTAAAATTGGTAATCGTGATCGTCTGTCTACCCTATTTGTTGATCAGCTTAAGATTGAAGTTTGTTATCCAAAAAAGCAACTGTTGGGAGGATACCGTATCTCAGATCACAATAATACCGATTCTTCATATTAAAAATGAATAATCATTTTACCCCTAATTTTATTATCAACAGAAATAATAATAAGTATCAGGGAAAAGTGGATGTCTCGGATACCAAGTCCAGGAGGGAAACAATCACGGACATTCCAAACTCCTGACCTGATCACCACAATATGGACCATGACATTGAAAAAACATGACAAAAAGAGTTGTGCCTGGCTTTAAGAGAACTAAAATTAGATAAGAAAGATGGTTACTATTCATGATAGAACCTACATAGTTTACACATTAACACCCTTAGGGTCAAAGCAATTGAGTTTCTTCTGATGAAATCTAATTCTAAAATATATTTAGTATATCGTAAGTTAATATCTCAAAATACGTTGTTTCATTATAGCATTGCTGCTAAGGACCTGTACTAACCGTTGACTATCTGTGTAGAAACACATAAGAATGTTAACGTCATTCTCGAAAACCCCTTCTTCTCATTTTATTCTCTTTTTTTATAATTAATTGAAATAAAAACTTCTGTCATGGTAATCAGTTCCAGTTTTCTTCGTACGTATATGTATTCAAATTTAAAGTTGTTTAATTAACATCTCTATTTCCAGGTCCATAATCTCAACGATAATTAAACTTACTGTATAATATATTTAATACAGTATAGAATGTTAACTAGTTAAAAATAGCATTCCTTTTTTCATTTGAATTATTTATATTCACCTTAAGTAATTCTAGATCTTGACCTTTTAGAATCATTACTCTTTTATCACCTTGGCATATTGAAAATGTATAATCCTCAGGTCCTAAAAAAATAAAAATATTAGTGATAATAGTACCGTTAAATAATTTAAAAGATTTTTTTTTCTTAAAACATTTACCTATATTTGAGACATCTTCAGAGATGCTACTGTTCAAACTTGAATTAGATCCAACTTCCTTTTCGACTTCTCTTATGGGAGAAGCATTTCGTTTTATAGTCTCTTCAATCAACTGCTTAGCAAACCTAAACATTTTTCAATAAAATATAAATTTTACAAACTTTACATATGTATATAAACGGTATATAAAAATAACAAACAAAAGTACAATATTTACATAATCTTATCTTCTTCTGGTCCTGTTATTTGAACAAGTCTCTCTTTTGCACCTGGATTAACTAAATTAAAAAGGATAAAATATAAATTTATTTTTCTCTAAAAAATATGTTTTGTGGGGTTATTCTGACAACATATTTAAAATAAATTAGCAAGCTAAAATTAACAATATTATTTGAATAGATAATTATATAATATGAGGGTAGATGTACAGTTTAATGCTGCTTTTTATATAAAATGCCATGAACAGTTACGGTAAAATGTTTTAAACTCTGCCCTACAACCAAACAGAACACAACATGCAAGTAAGTTTTGTTATTTACCGAATCATTTTTGCTTTTATTTAAATTAACTTAAATTATCTTTAAAAGTGGATTAGAAATGAGGAACAGCCTATGTAAAAATACTGAAAAAATTATTGTGCTGCATGGCAATTTTTTGCCTATTTTGTAAAGTTTTTGGCCTAGGACTCTAGTCACTTTTTTTATAATCCTGAAAGTTTTTTTATTATAATTTTGCAAATTACTTATCGATTCACTTTTTATTTAATGTGTTTTTTAATCAAAAAAGGTACTTAAGTTAAATTTAAATAGCGAAGATTTGTAATAATGACTTACGAAAAAGAACATATTTGCAAAGAAAGTGTTTTTACAAATAGAAATATATTTTTTTATTATAATAATTTCTTTTACAATGCAATAGAATGTAACACATAATAAAACACATACTTTAATTAAGACCACTGAATTTCCATTTCCTTCATACAATACATACATGCATCTCTCCACTAATTGATACTTGTGGTGTTTAGTGTCCAGTAGTTAATGACTATTTGAGATCGTGTGACATAGGTTTTAGAAAACATTTTCTTTATTGTGCCAACATTTTGATCTTAATTGATATCATCTTCAGAGCCTGGCATTTATAAACATTGTTTACATTATACAAATACATGTAGGATGTGAAAAAAGTGAATTTATACAATGCTAGAAATTTTAGACTCAAAGTATTTGTACTCACACAAAGTGTTTGTTATCAGTGTACATGTGTCATTATTGGGTGTTGTGTTGAGAGTGCCAGTGAGATATTGCTATTTTATGTTTATATACATTGGATTTTGAAGGGGTGGGGATGGAAGTCAGTATAGAAAGACATTTATATATAAGAAGTTGGCTTCTTTGAGGTGAAATGAGCCGACGTCACTTATTTGTTACTGGTGTGGGATCTTTAATTTTGGAAAAAAGTGTGTGAATTGTGAAAGAATGGCATGGATATGTATATTGGTTTGTCTGTATTTGATAGATTTGATGGTGTTAGTTGTAGTTGTTGATTATTCTGTTGATTATGTGTTTAGGGTAGAGATTGTTATATAGAATACGTTTGTATATCTTTACGTTCTTGTGGTGAAAATATTCATGGCTTAGGGTAATAAATCCGTGAGTTGCCCTTAGGCCATGTTTATATTTATGAAGAGGATGATGTTGAATGAGTACATAAAGTTGAGCTAGTGATCTGTGTTTCTTGGCTTTTGATAGAAATCTGTGATTAATGTGCCATCTGGTTGTTTTATTACGAGTGTATCTAAAAATGGTAGTTTTGTTGATTTTGATTTCATGTGTAAATTGTAGGTGTGAGTGAAAGCTGTTAAATGTATCTAATGTAGTTTGAATTTGAACTGCTGTTAATATATCATCTACATATTGCATGAGGAGGGGTAGTGTGAAAGGAAGTTGTGGTACAACTGTGTTTAATAGATGTGTCATATAAAAATGTTTTCTGTCCCAACTTCCTTCCCCACCCCTTCAAAATCCAACATATATAAACATAAAACATCAATATCTCACTGGCACTCTCAACATGACAACCAATAAAGGCACATCTACAAAGAAAACAAACACTTTGAATGAGTACAAATACTTTGATTGATTGAGCCTAAAATTTCTAGCATTGTATAAATTCACTTTTTTCACATCTCACATGCATTTGTATAATTTAAACAATGTTTATAAATCCCAGGCCCTGAAGATGATCTCAATAAAGATCGAAACGTTGACACGATAAAGAAAATGTTTTTCTAAAACCTACATCACACCAGATCACATCTCACGATCTCCAAATAATCACTAATCAATATGTTTTATGCAGGCAATGGGTTTGTGGTGTAAAATAAGTGGAAAATAATGGAATTTTTTTAACATCTCTGGACTGAGTTACGTTGATTTTATCAAGTTTTTCAATAAAGAACACAATGGTAAAAAGTGAGTAGAAAAATTTGGAGATACAGTGTTTCATCTTAGCATGGTTGGTGTTTATAATTTATTTACATATCACAAAAAACTAACAAGTGAAAAAGGATGTGAATTTGAAAAAACTACATTAACAATTACTTTTGTGAAACTTTCAGCTCATTTACTGTTGTTTATACTTTAATGTTCTAATTTCTTTAATATCTTAGAGATACCTAAAAATAGTGGCCAGAATAAAATAACCAAAATAAGAACAGTATACAAAAGGCATAAGTATAAGTAGCAGTATACAAGAGATTGAACCAAATTTTGAATATTCCAAATTGAGCGATTTATGTCATCCTTGAATCAAATTAAATTCAAGGATTAGACAAAGCAAATGTGCCAACAGTAATTTCTTCCCTATGTTTTTATTACGCAAAGATAAAATACAGTTTAGTTAATATATAAAATAAACAAAGAAATGCTACTCACAGTGTAATGTAAAACACCATTCAGGTGTCAATAGTAATTTAAATGTTCTAAGAAAGTAGTATATAAAATTGGTTTTAAACAAATTTAGGATTTAGCAATTGTGAGGTGTTCTTTTTAACAGAAAATTTTGTACTTTATAGTAACTTATCTAAATTGTTAATTTTATCTTTTAATCAATGTCAATTTTTTTTTTTTTTTTACAAATGGTTTTAATAAAATTGTGCATATATTTGTTGAGGATATGACTTCAAGCAGCATGCTCATGATAACACTTATTAATCTATGCATTAATAGCAAATTCAAACTGAAAATTGGCATTTGATTGCAGAATTTAATTAATAAAAGTGAGAGTTAAGAATCATCATGTATACCACTCAGCCAGAACCAAAACAGCCTTTGAATTCGGTGGTGCCTTACTAATAAAAGCTCATAAGCGATGTTTTAGTGTCACACTTTATCTGCTCAGATTAGCTGTTGACATAGTGAAAACAATTTTTACCTCTCTGAAAAGAGATGACAGTTTCACTCAGTTCCTCTATCATGTGAACTCTTCTTCCTTTGATCCCCATCACTAGTAAAACCCACATATTTACATAAAATGACCCAAAACAGTACCCAATTTCCTTGAATACAAAGAAGCTTGTAATTTTTTCAAAGCGTTCAAGTTAACAAATCAGTCTTATTTCAGATACTGAACCAAACGTATGCCATTCAATAAAGACAATTTACCTTTTCCAGAGTCGGCATTTCTTATAACGATTTCATCCTTACAGTAATTTTTCCCTGGCAACTTTGTAGGACTTGTAAATTTACCAGATGATTTGATTACTTCACCAGGGGCAAGCATGAGATTTTGTGGAAAATATGTGGATGACACACTAGGATCCATAATATCTGAAGCCTAAAATAATTATCATTTCAATCCCAAATATTGATACTAATTTTGTCAGTAAAAAAAAAAATTACATCATGCACAGAGGATCCTTTAGTGTAATAATTGTTCATGGCAACATTGGTCTGCCACTGCATTGCCCTTAGTTCGATAAGATGAAGCAAGTTCAATTTAACTGCATGATCTTGGATTGAATCGCCTTTGGCACCATTTCGAAAATTAATAAATGCTCTGTCAAGTTGAGCTGAAATTCATAAAATTAAGAAACAATCAAATAAAAAAATTAAAAGCATTAATTACCTTCAAAACATTCTTCCAACCGGGAGCCATACATTTTCATCTTAGCCATTAAACTAGTAGTTAACGATAAGAGTTCTTTGTCTTGACTTGCATTTTTCTGCACAACTGACTGAGACACGCTGTTTATTAATGCCATGATTTCTTCAACTAATAAATATATTTTTAAAAATTTTAAATTAATTTTACAAAATACATTAGATTTAAGACTAACGGGTTGTTGTGGACTGGGGTGAATCTGGGCATTTTAGTAATGTGTTCTTCATGGGTTTAGGCTTCTCAACTTTTTTGACAGCCCTGGTGCTGAGACTACGAACCAATTTGTGGGTAGACATGGCTATTGATTCCTATAAAATAACATACGAGTATTCAAAGCAAAAGTGTGGTAATAATGGCAATTAATTTAAGATTAATTATTCAATTTAAGAAAATTGTTAATTATTTCAATTTGTGGCATAAGTGAGGTCTGCAAGGTGATCTAATTGTAGCTTCACTTGTGTATCTAAATGGTTCCAGCAATGGTGGAATGTGGTGATACACTGAAGTCAACTGACAAAACTAACAAAAATAAACACTCAATGATGATCTGTCATAATCAAGCTTCAATCACCTTTTCATCAAAACTTTTTGTTTTATAGAAATTAGAAGAAAACACAATGTCCTGCCTGGTTTTTATTACTGTAATATTATGTTCAATCTTTTTCAATATCTGTAAATTTAACAATTGTTATAAATTTTTTAAATAAGCAGTTAAATAGTCACAACAGCAATCATGTAACTTGTTAATTAAATTTCACATTACTGAACATTTAAAATTAGTTTATTATAATCAAGTTCAAAATATTTTTGAATGGAAAATTTATCTTTGTGCATAAAAAATTACTTATATTTTTATTTTAATATTTTTAAAAGTGAGGGACAATCAGTCAACTATGATATTGGTATTGTGTTCTCCATAATATTTTTTTTATGTTCTTATCATATTGATTGGGATTGGTTTACTGCAAAGTATGTTTTTCTCCGTAACATTGTTTATCTGTTTTAGTATGAGCAAAAAAAAACAACCTTGTATCACCCTAAACTAGTATCTAATACATTTAAATAATGTAATATATTGCAAGCTGGTGTTACCAAATTTATTATTAATCTTACTAAGTATGAACACCACTGGACACTAAATGTTTCAAGTCATATTTTATATTAAGTTTTACATTTAATATATGATCAAAACTGTAATGTACTTTGCTCAATAAAGTTTTAAAAAAAAATGAGGGATGGTTTGATGGTTTATTACAAAGTATGATTTTCTCCAAAACATTTCTTATCTGTTTTACTATCATTATAAGCATTAGTTAGGGATGTTACACTGCAAAGTATGATTTTTCCATAATTTTTCTTATATGTTTTTTAATGATTATAAGAATTAGTTAGGAAATGATTGACAGTAAAAGTATGGTTTTATCCATGCCATTCCTTACCTCTTTTACTATCATTTACTGTAAAGTATGGTTTTCTCTGTAACATTTTTTATCTGATTGACATCATTTTAAGCATTAGTTAGGAACGGTATACTGGGAAGTACGTTTTTTTTTTTTTCTATAATATTTCTTATATGTTTTATAATGATTATAAGCATTAGTTAGGAATGATTTACTTGTAAAATATGGTTTTGTCCGTAACATTCCTTATCTCTTACTATCATTATAAGCATTAGTTAGGGATGTTTAACTGTAAAGTATGGTTTTCTCTGTAACACTTTTTATCTGATTTAGCATCATTTTAAGCATTAGTTAGGAATGATTTACTGTAAAGTATGGTTTTGTCCATAACATTCCTTATCTCTTTTACTATCATTATAAGCATTAGTTAGGGATGATTTACTGTAAAGTATGGTTTTCTCTGTAACACTTTTTATCCGATTTAGCATAATTTTAAGCATTAGGAATGGTATACTGCAATTTATTATTTTCTCCATAATATTTCTTATTTGTTTCATTATGATTATATGTATTTAGGTTGTAATAGACATCACAATACTTCGCTAGTATTGCCAATTAAATCATCCATTATATTTAAATAATAAACTCAGGAAATAATGCAACACTTCACTGTCATTGTAAGTTGTAGTTGAAGATAGGACGTGTCGCTCTCTTCGCCCCTTTATAAATAGACTTACAAGGCGTGTCAATAGTTTTCTTCGTCAGAGAACAATTGACTATGCTAAAATAATGCAACAAGACGAGAAATAACAACTGACCGTTTTCAACAATCTGTCATTAATCCCCAATGGACCATATTGGAAGTGACAAAATCTCTGTTTTAATTTAAACGGTAGGATATGACCGATCTTTTATAAATATGGAAATATTGACATGAAACGAATCGTATCGAAAGGAACAACAGCCACATTTAGCGATCGTTTAATAATTACCTATGAGTGCAAAGAGAAATTGGGATTGTCTTCAACCCGTCCACAAAACACCCTGAACTACAAAGTGGGATTTCGCTAGTTAATCGCGTAGTGCCATAGTTTCTCATTTACACCGTCAGAGAATAAACTTCTTGAATATTCACGAAATCTTGCCGTTGGAAAGTTGTCAGCTGATGTTTTGCCGCCCCAATTTCAAAATTGTTCAATTAGAAATGCACATACTCGATCATAGATTAATGTTGTTCCTTGTTTCCAAACAGAAGTTAGATGTAGGTAAAATAACCACATTAAATGACTCATGGACATTTAATGTGTAGGAGGCCTCCCCCCTAATGCCAACAATGAGGAGTAAAACTGTCAAACACATTATCCGTAAATGTAGTACATTTTTAGCATAAAGAAACGACCTAAGCATACCCCTAGTCAATAAAATTGCCCTTGAAGATAACGCTGTCTGCTTCAAAATTCATACAATTCATTTTAAAAAAATAGATAAATAAAAACTATCTTTCAAATTTTCTTAATATATATATAAAATTCTCTTAAAAACTGTCTTCTTAATACATTAGTAACATTTGTAAATTCACCAATTACTAATTGGGGCAAATGGGGATCTGCTGGTTCGGGGCATGGAAGATTCCTGGGCAGAATGCTCTGGACTCCAAACGGATGTGAAATTTTCCATAGGCAATATTGTAAATGGTTTTTATCCACTTCAAGGACAAGGGGCTTCATAATCTGAAAATATATTAAATGCAAAAGAAACAGCATGAGAAGTCCCTGGGTGAATAGGAGAAAAGAATTTAAAAATGAGAAAATTACACAAATTATCCTCAGTACTGTTGATTGAAAAGTAATTTTACTTGACTATAGGCTTTATAAGAACAAATGCATTAATAAAATTTCCTTTCATTATAACAATGCATGTAATGTAGGATTAAGATTCATACATCAAAACAAAATTAATATAAATTCCATTCCCTTTTATGATCAATTTAAATTAAAAAAAAAAAAACAAGCATATAATTAAATGAGTGGTTTTTAGTGACCGGTTGTTTCATAATTTGTTGAATTCGTGAAAACTGGTCAAGAATGAGGTAGTTTAGAAAAACACCTTTTTTATTTTTTTGCCAATGTTTCAACGTTTATTCAGTGATCATTTTGTGTGAAAGTGTTGTGTCAACACTTCAACATTCATACAATTACCATCACTTTAACACATTTTCACACAAAACGAATAAGACACCACAAGAATAGCACCACACTTTATGTCCTGAAGATGACCCGAATAAAGGTCAAAATGTTGGCAAAAAAATAAAAGAGGTGTTTTTCTAAACTACCTCATTCTTGACCACTCCTCACAACTTCAACAAATCATATAATTAAAGAAGAGAACGTTTTATAAGTAATATACTAATAAAATAATTATTTAAAAAATTACATAAAATGTCAATAGTCAAATAAATTGAATATATACTGCTACCATTAATTTGTATAAATCTGTTTTTTGTTTATGTATAAAACTATTTAGGAGCTCATAACTCCTGCTTTCAAGTGCAAGTTAAACTTCCTGAAAAATAAATTGTACATTATTTTGTTCTACATTATCATTTATTTTTTCCCCTCTCAGATTAATGTATTGAATGTACAGCACATTTTTGTCTTTGTCTTAGACTCACTATACTTGAGGTCCTATTTTTATATGGATTTCTCAACCACTCTCTCCAAGTTGGGATACATTTTGCAGAAAAAGCCAATAATGTTTGTCATCCTTTATTTACACTAAAGATAAAATTACCTTATTATATAAAAAGTGGTTCAAGGTTTTTGAGTTGTATTGATTCATACAATCACAGCAAGTAGAAATTATTTCTGTTATAATTAGTGATTAAATTTCAATAGTATAATAATGTATATTAAAAAAGAAAAGAAAAAAGATCAACAATCTGACAATTTTATAAAGCATAATCACACCAATACAGGTTATTGAATTAATATGTATAATAATCATAATTTACTTATCATCTCACTGTTATTATCATTAGTATTAAGTATACTGGATTTTGTTTTATGCTTCCTTTATACCTCCGAAATTCTGGTTGTATATTGTTGCAATTTTTTATTTGGAACAAAAAATTCACATGCTTGACCTATGAATTCAAATATGACTGTGAGGATGTGATTTTAAAATTGATGATAGAAGCCTGCAATAAGAACGAAGATGAAGTAACTAGCAAGGTTCTAAAAAATGCTCTCATGGCAGTTGTTAACTGTCAAATAAACTGGAATTGACACAGTCAAATTTGAATCACTGCCTATATAATTTAGGTTGCTACAGTTGCACTTTGAAAAATATTTATTAGGTAAACTTTCTATTGAAATAATATCTGATGATGAATAAAACAAGGTCAGCCAATTCTACTGATAACAAGGTAAAGTACAATAAAGAAAAAGGAAAATAAAACCAGTTTCTACCAGAAAAATTCACATGCTATATGAGAAAACGGCATGTAGTTTTAAAAAAGTCACCTAGGTATATTGTGCACATTTCTTTCCATTATTATACAAATTACACCAAGAGATTTTAAATTCTACAGTGATGGATTAAAATTATATAATTAAATAAATAAAACATTAAAATTATGATTCATTATAAATCAAATTTCCTCCAGTACTTTTCAGTATTCATATAACATGTTTGTTATGGCAATGATTTGTAATACCACTTCCAAAATATGGGAATTTGAAAGGCAGGCGCAAGGAGACTTGTGTCATTCCAGTATGAAAGTCATAAATTATGACAGATATTAGTCTAGCAACAAATGTATTGCTTATTTAATAGGAAAAATATGATGTTTTTCCTTTTTTTAAATTAAATAAACATGGGCCAATGTACGAAACCTAACTATCACAACTAAAACACACATACAATACAACACAAATTAAATTATTCTATCAACCTCAAGTGAATAATCAGGCATCATTTTCAAAGACAATTGAACAATAATTAATATACCATTTGAAAACGACATTAAATATGCATCAGGGCAAAACTAGATAAGAATATCTATAATAAGATATATAATGGTGTGATAGGAAAGCGTAATATTAATACCCTGGTGCCTCCCCAGTTTTTAATTGTTCATACGGTATGAAAGGATCTATCTGTAAGAATGCATGAGTGGTTTAGTGTGGATGCATGGGTCTGTGACAGGAAATAGAGTACCCTGAAGACCTGTATTTTGCTACCTGTATGTTGCTTTACTATTGATTGAATTAGCGCCCATCACCGTTTATGAGAGAAGTCATCTGTTAAAGAATATGCTATATGTTCTAGGTGTCCCAAATTACAGTAACAAGATAAATTGTTCATGAAGGGGCTACTAAGCTATGTGCTAGATGTGTAAGAAAAAAGCAGAGTAGGACTGGCTAAGACCACAGCTGTTTGCCAGAGCAAATTTTTTTTTCAAGATTGTGATTTTAAAGTTTACCTTTGGCATAAATTCAGTTTTTGTAGTTTTTTTCCATAAAATTCACTGCAGCTGTCTAGCAAATAAGCTTTTAATATGTATGATTATATCCTGACTTTTTGGTACTTATCACATTATGTGCCAGCATTTATCTACTTGTTAACACAAATTTAGGGACACTTGCCAATCATCATACCACTACTTAGCAATTAACTCTTCAATTTGCTAGGTGGGTACAGAATGTAGAGTCTGCCAGGCTTAAAGACTTACTGGAAAATGCAACCATCTCATTTCGCCAAAATCGGACTTATCCAGTTACGCCCCAAGGGTGCAGAAATTAAACACTGATTTTTCATTATCAATACCCATTTCAATAATGCTAATCTAAATAAGGAATAATATATTTGTCTATCACAGTTAAATTTGTATGCCATTCAAAATGTGAGTTGCCAGACAGTGAATGAATAAATAATCTTTTCTTTTTATCAAGTGTTTTTAATCCAAATGAATCATTTTGATAAAAATCTTGATCCCTCATTTCTTTAACAGTCGTTTCATTTCCGTCAAAGCATCCAAAATGACTGAAAACAAAAACAAATTAAAATGATAACTATAAATTGATTAAAAAAATACTACCTAGACTGCCAAGGAGTAATTACACCATCATCTGGACCACCGATTAAAACCATTCTTTTCAGCTTAGTCAAACCAGCTTTAAAATTACAACTTTCATCAGAAGAAATAATATTGTTAATATATGGCAGAAACACGCTATATTTGAGAAAAAGTTTCTGATGGTATGGGTCGTTCCAATAGTTTCCAACTGAAGTCTTTTGACCGACCATCGAATAAAATAATTCAAATGCAGTTTCACATGCAAGAGTGGGAAAGAATAGATGTAAAAATTGTGCTAAAAAGTAATATTAAATATGATTAAAAAATAAATACATAGATAAATAAAAACAAAGACAGCTACTAACTTCCATATTGACCGCATTGGGGTGAGCTCAGTGAAACAAATGTATTTACATTATGGTTTGAATAAAACTCCAGAATAGCTCTGGCCAGCAGACCTCCCTGAGAATATCCTAAAAAGAACAAAATTAATTTAAAAAAGTTTTTTCATGCAAACAGTTTATAAGAATTTACCAATAATATGAATTCCTTCTGGATGACTAGACATGAATTTATTTATGTCTGCACCGATTTCCATTACTTGATGCCACATAGGCCTCAGGCTGGACCAGCCACCAAACCTGTCTGTAGCAAATATCTCTGTCCCTGGATGAAGCTGTCAAATAACATGCATTAAAAAACTGTATGATGATGTATTTCAGTTTGTCACATACATATAACCATGTGCAGAGGACTTTTGTGTGAACACTTAATGAAAACAAATTGTTTCATCTTGGTTGTTAATTAAATTTATTTAATATTTAAAAATTTTCAAAAGTTATAAAGAGCTTTATACACTTGCTTATTTCTTTAAAGTACAGTTACTGTATAGTGCTTGTACTATATAATTTAAGAAACATTGTTTTCTAAAGAGCTTATATTATTGAATTTTTTCCTTTATAATGTAATATAGCTGTAGAACAATTTAATGATGGCACAAATCATCACTTATGGTATGCCTGGTTTTACAAAACCATGCACATTACTAAACAAAAAAGAACCTGATAAAATACAGAGGGTTGTCATGTATCATGAGGGATGAAGTGTCCACAAATGATATTAAGGACAATAAAGAAAACCATACTCATAAATAGAGATGAATCCATGGGTGCTAAAGCTTAAAAAAATCACCCTCTTCTTACATTAAATACTTACGCTAATAACATTATACAGGCCATAAACTCTGCATATGTAGAAGCGTGTCCTGAAAAAATACTATGCCAGAATCGATATCACTGGTGGAATAAAGATCTGGCTAGTTTAAAGAAAAGGGTCAAAGCATTACAGAAAAAGCCCTGCAGTGGAACTCTGAACCATACTGGAGGGATTTTTCTCCATGAAGAAAGAGTATAAAAAAGAGTTAAGGAAAACCAAGCGTAAAGCCTGGAGGAACTTTTGCTTGGAAACAGAAACAATTAAGGAAAGTTCTCATATTTGTAAACTTCTGGAAAAGGATTATATTAATCCGTTAGGTTTATTACAGGATAATAATGGGGTGTACACCATATCCTGTGAGGAGACCCTGAACCTGATGGCTAGAATTAGATAATTACAATGTCGACCATCACCTTACTAGATGGGTGAAGACCTACTTGGAGGGGAGGATGGTCAATATGTGCTTAGGTGGTAGCACTCTTAGAATTAATGTAAAAGGAGGCTGTCCACAGGGAGGCTGTTTGTCACCTCTTTTATGGCTAATTACAGTAAACAGCTTAATAGAACTTCTGAATAATTCAGGTTTCTACAGTCAATTATTTTCAGATGATGGTACCATAATGCTCACACGCCCTTGACTCCTTCACTATGGAAAACGCCATGGGATTGCTTTATAGGTGGTGTTGTGACAAAGGTTTATCAATTAATCCTGCTAAACTAGAATTAATAATGTTTAGCAGGAGAAGAACATTAGGTAATTTTAAAAATCCTAAATTTCAGGGCATAGAATTAAAGTTAGTGGATTCCATCAAATTCCTTGGTGTGACACTTGAAAGGAAACTTGATTGGAAAGGTCATATTAATAACATATACAGGAAAGGCACAATATCAATGGTACAATGTAGGAGAATTGTCTGTAAAACATGGGGTATCAAACCATGGGTAGCCAAACGGCTATATACTGCAATTATTCTACCTAGATTCTTTTTCGCAGCTTTAGTGTGGTGGAAAGGTGTAGATAATAAAAGGAATAGTAACAAGTTAAGGTCATTTCAAAGACTAGGTTGTTTGATGATGACAGGAGCATTTTCAACTACACCCACCCTGGCTCTTGAAATCATAACCAGTACCACACCCCTTCACATTGAGGTTAAGGTCAGAGCACTAATCAGCTGCTACAGATTAATTAGCGAGGGCAGCTGGAATCATAAGTGCAACAACATAGGTCACTCGAAAATCTCACAACTATTGAGTAAGGTTAACGGTCAATTATTAAGCGTTAGTGATAAAAAGATTAAAACCCCTACGGGGAAAAAGCACTTTCAGGTAGTCACCCCTTGTGATTATAATTATAGCCTGGATGATGACCATCGTAACATAGACTGCTATACAGATGGATCACTTATCAAAGGAAGAGGGAGTGGTGCAGAATCTACATACCAAAATTAGGAATCAGCATCTCCTCCCCTCTTGGCAATACCACCTCCGTTTTTCAGGCAGAAATCTGGGCCATCAATGTGTGTTGTCGAACACTTATGGAAAATAAAATTAAGGGAAAAAATATTAAAATCTTTTCTGACAGTCATGCTAGTCTTAGGGCATTACAAAAAGATTTGTCAACCTCACGACTGGTGGAGGAAACTATAGATCTTATCAATAGGATCTCTTTCAGGTTTGAGAATAAGGTGACCTTTATTTGGATACCATCACATAAAGGACACCATGGCAATGAAAAGATGGATGGCCTAGCCAAAGAAGGTTCTAATACTGCGTTTTTCGGGCCACAACAGGTATTACCTCACTCTATGAGCACAGCGAAAGAGAGTATCAATAACTGAGGCATGAAACAATTCCTTAGGGAGTAGAATTTATCCCCTGGACACAGGCAACTGAAAGAGTTTGTTAAGGCGATCAAACCAGCAGAATCGAAATGGCTATTCTCTATCTCAAGGAAGGGAATTAGAAGGCTGATAGGTATCCTGACGGGCCACTGCCCACTGAGAAGACACCTCTCTGTAATAGGTATTCTACCAGATCCCTTTTGCCGCTTCTGTGAAATAAAGAAGAAACGGCAAGGCACTACCTTGCAGAGTGTGATAGGTATGCTAGGTCTAGATTTGAAATCTTTGTACATCACCAAATCACTCCCCAAGATAAAATGGTCCAAAATCTTGGGGTTTGTGAACAAGTCCAAGAGATGTATGAAGGACACGTGAGCCGACCAAGTCCCGGACCTTTTAGGGATGGGGTACGAGTCTACCCAGGCATTTAACCCCTCGGGTCTTGGTCGCCCACCCTGCATAATATATATATATATACATTAAATATTAAATACTTATGTATGGCTAATGAGTCAGCAGAATGACGAACCTGCAGTTTGATTGTTTTCCATAATTTATGCGGCATTGGACCGAGCATTGAAGATAGCATAGTGCCAACATGCATTTGACATACCAAACTATCAAGGCTAGTTAGCTCAAAATGTTTGTAAACAACCAAACTAACCATCTACGCAAACCCCACAAGTAAATCTGAAAAAGTTCAGTGTCACTTATCATAGGACCTGTAGACACATCAAACACATAGAAGAGACCTTGACGCACTAACTTACAGACTGAAGAGCTACAATTCTACTCAGGAGAAAATGTTTTGTTTTAGTGCACTGTAAGTACAGAACAAGGCAATATAGGTTTCTTTTCTTACATAAATAACGTACATTGGACACGAAATATTGTTGTCTTTTGAAGGGATGTATTGTATGGCCTGTCATCTCCCCCACAATACCGAGGTAGTTGAACGTTAACCCCTCCTCCATAATAGGGAGGAACAAAAAACAATGCTGTCAATTTAACTTTTGCACATGTTACAATACCATCTGCATAGGAGTATGGGCATTTGATTTTAGAAAAACTTGTTGTTAAAAAAAAATTCTTAGGCTTGTCCTGTTGTCTTTACCTCTTTGATTCTTTCAGCTAGCGGTAACATTGTGATGTTACCAGTTAGCACTCCATGTATTATCACTACTGGCTTGTAAGACCAAGCACATATAGCGTACAAGGAAAACAGCAAGTTAAGACGTATAAATGTATTAAATGACATGCTCGAAGAACTGAAATGAAATTAATTTAAAACGGGGCAGCACTAAAAAAAGGTAGAAATCCCTCATTGAAAAACCGATCATCCATATAAAGGTGGATGGCCACTTTTTCTGTTTACAATTACAACATTCATGACAGGTGCAAAATTATTTCCTAGTTGGCCTTTTAATAGAAATGATATCGATTTAAAGTAGATCAGTATCAAGAGATCTTCGATATTAGAAATATACTCGTTATCAATTCGCAACATATTTTTAATTTTGAACTGATTGTTCAGCAGGGTGGAAGGCCATTAAGGCACTACGGTTAAATTAATAGACAGCAAGTTGTTTCACTGGACAACTGTAAATCGGTAATTTTTATAAGTTCAATTGTAATGTGTGGTGATTAGTGACTGTTCAATTGTAATATTACAAATATCTTTATGAATATCATTACTTTGAAATAAAATAACAATTTATTTGTTTAAATTATTCTCGAAAATTGTTTATTTTTGAAAAAATAAATTAAATACCCCTATCATGATACTGGGTATTTGTTCGATACAGTAATAACTTTAAGTATCGATACACTTGAATCAAACTTTAAGTATTTACGGGAAAGCTAAAACCAGACTATAACCCGTGGTTTCTTTTAGGTGGTTAAACGTGGTTATCTCCGGTGGTTCACGTGTTTCTGTTTATTCTCATTCTTCATACAAACAATGGATCTGACACACAAGTTCTTACTCCAGTCGTCTATTATGTTAAATAAATATCCACAGATCTGCACCCAGTTAAGGTTGACGGTTTATACATAATTTTTGACCATCCTGCATTATTTTTGAATATTATTAAATATATTTTTACAGAAACTTGTGTTTCTGTGGTTGTTTTCATTGTTTATAATTATTGCTATAATTATTATCTATTATAGAATAAATAATTACTATATCTATAATTACTAATTATAGAAATAAAATAATAATTTTTTTGTACTCACACTTTTATATGAAAATTTTATACACTCAAAAACAAAAACCCCGGATTTTTGTATTTATTTGTTTACTTTCCATAATAACTAGGCATAAGGGTTAATAGTTGACTTAAAAGTAAACATAACTTGTTGTTTATAGTGTTACTTTTACACTATTTAGATTAAAAATAAAGAAAATCAGTTCAATTTTATCCTCTCGAGAGCCAAACTGTTGAGTGAGTTAATTTTTGGTCCAATTCGTTTTTTTAAATTGTTTTCTTTGATGATAATTAATTACTATTTTTTTCCTGATCTCGCCTGGGCAGTGCTTTAGCTAATGAGAAATGAATCGAACGTTACATATCCCACAATGGTCTCCATTGGTTTAGGGCCACTGGAAATCTCAACCTTGATGTATGATGGCCAGAGACAATCATTTTAAAGATCTTACTGCACTATGGAACATTTAATGGCTTCTTTGATAGGTAGTCAACTCCAAATGCTCTGTAATGTAAGGGTAAACTCAAAAACATGAAAAGATTTCGTGAGAATTGCCTAGTCTCTAGACGTCCCATATCAGGTTTTCCTATTTGAGAGGCATTTCATTAAAAAGGCGGCTATTCACAAATGGCATCTCACTTGGACAATTGAACAATGGAGAGCTGTTCTCTTCACAGATGAATGCCTGTTTGGTTTGTGGCAATGAGAAGACAGGGACCACTTGTGGAGAAGACTTGTACAACGCTTTGCTTTATGTGCCGTTCATGAGTCATGGCCTTTTCAAAGCCAGTGCATTATGGTGTGGGGTGGATTCAATGTCCATGCCCTGTACTGAACGACTATCATACAGAATGGTTCTTTGAGAGAGTTCTGTAAGTTGAGTCCCATTCACTCTATTTATTGGGGACAACTTCATGTTGATGCTCGACTGCAAGTAGCTCAGCTATGTCACCCATTACTTGAAGGGAGTAGGGATTACCACAATGAATTGGCCAGCACGTTTCCCTAAAATGAATCCTATAGAATTTTTATGGGACATGATAAAGAGTCGGGTTGCCAAACAGAATGGAATTTAGACTCACAAAACAAAATTCAACACTTATTTACTCAATACTCAATGCCTAGAAGAATGAAAGCCTCCACAAGTTTAACGAGTTAAAGTGCAAAACTAATTAATTGTTATTTAAATTTTAATCTATTACTCAATGTTTTGGTAAATTTTCTTTCTAAACCATCAATTAAATAATTTTTATCAAAATTCATGAATTTCTGATCTCGTTTGATTTGGTTTACATTAAAATAAGTATGTTGTAATTAATATAATGATAAAAGTACACATAGTTTGAAATAAACAACAAATACAAGTGTCTGTTGTTTTTATCTTTGAGCATATTCTCCATCGAATTTAATAGTTAATAAATTGTTATCTATATCAACAGTAAGCAGTTGCTTACTGGTGGTACTATATTTTTAGATTTAAAAAAAGTAAGAATGCGTGAAAGAGGTACTCGTTGCTGAAAAGCCAGTGTTAATGTGGTAAAGCAATTTCATAATTTGAAATGTCTTTACTTTTGTACATCACAAAATCTTGTTCAAAAACAACTTTTTATGTATAATCAAAACTAGGTATTGTTATTCCAAAACATAGCACATCATTGCCGTTATTCTGAATTGTCAAAATGCTCTTATATTAATCTTAATCTTCTATAATAATTATAATAATATTGATAATTTTTTTAAAAATTATAAAACGATGTAATTGTGTTTTAGAAACAAATGTATCAATGAATGTATGGGAGGTGTGAGCATTGATACTAAAGTTGCCTGCAAGTGGTGTTATTCCACGTGGGAGGGCGGAAAATTTTTATTAAAAGTTGAACCACAAAACAAGAAGAAATTACACAAAAAGTGTTCACCATCAACTAAATATTTTAATGTTATGGTTAGTTTCAATTTCGAAGTACATTTTGTTTAAATTTTGCACATGAACAAATTTTATTTTTAAAATAATTTTTTTTGTTTAAGGTTTTCACATGTTTGGTGTGTCAGAGAAAATCGAAAATTCCTCTGGCCAAAGGGCCTAAACTTAAAAATTGCAAGAAAATTAAGAAAACACAAATAGAAACTGAACACATTTTATTTCAGAAAGAGGAAACTAAGAAAGTTAAAAAGAAAAAAAAGAAAGACAAATTTTGCGGCTTAAATCCTGCTTTGTTTGGAAACACTCCTCAGTGCCAAGTTGACTCCAAAACCAAAGGTTCGAGTGTTTTGAAAGATGAAAATCCAACATACTTGACTGTAAATCAACAAATAAACAATTCGATCAATTGTATTAAAAAGAACAAAAAGAAAAAGAAGAGGTCCAAAATGAAAAAGAAGCAACCGTCTTCTGTACATACTTTTATAAATGACTGTTGAATATTTTATAAGTATAATGTAATGATATATTTATTATGTGATATATTTTATTGTTTTAATTGAAATTTATAAAGAAATATTGGTGTTTTATTACTATTTCTATTACACTTCAATTGCATCTAAAGAGAGGAACAAGAAGGAAATTAAATTCTTATAAAATAGTGAAATGTTTATTTTGTTGAACAAAAAGTGTTTATTTCATTTGATTTAAAACCTAGCAATATTATTTATTACAAAACAATTGTAAATTTTGTAAATAGAACAATTATAATGACAATTTATTTTAATCAATATAAAGGAATTATTTATACAATTAACAATAAAAACCATTTACCTAATATATAATAACACACAATTTCACCTCAAATTGCCCTTGTAAGATTTTAAAACATTTTTTAAACATAAAATATATAATGATGATGTGGTTGATTTTGTATATTTGGATTTAACATAACTGCTACTTGATACTATGATAGTATGTGTATTAATTTTATTTTTGTTTTATTCCAAGGGAATGTCCTCTTTTATTACCTGAAATGAAAATTAATTTTTAAAATAAAATTAACTTTGATAGTAGTACTGAGGATTCAGTGACTAGTTCAATTAATATTTCACAAAATTAAGAATTGACAGAAAACAAATTAGATTTAATTTATTACAACCAACAACCGCTAAAGCATTCAGTTTAGTTTGCAAATGAAACTGATAGTAAAATTAGTTTTTTACGCTTGGTTTAGCAACCTTGAATGTTAGTACACCACAACTTTTAATGATTGCTTATGATAGGTTTATAGTTTATTATCCTTGTTAGTGTATTTATATTTTGTTAGCTTTTATCTGCGTAGGGTAGGATAAACCATCCCAACCAGTCAACATGCTCCCTGACCTTCATACACACTGCGAGGTACTCATGGTCACTTTTGAAGTCTTCTCTGGTTGGTAGTGATTTTCCATGCCTACGCAGTTCTTGCTGGGCGTCAATTATGTCCATCACTACAACTGGATCGACTTTATTATCCTTTATCAAACACACTAAATGTTCGATGAAATGAGTCCTACGAAAATTGATTTCAAAGCAAAAATTAGTATAATCAATTTTTTTAAAAGTTCACACAACAAAATGTTTATTTTTGTTTGTGGGATGCAGTTTATTGAGAGATTCCATTCTTAATCATCAAATAAAATTAATTTTTCTTTGGATTAGGGCACAATGATCTGTGGTTCATGAGCTACCTTGAGCAAGCGTTCTCGGTATACAGTGCTTGGAGTTCCATAGGGGTTCGGAGGAGGTTTTCTCCCAGTTCTTTTAACAATAGTTTCAAGATCGTCTGAATCAAAAATTTGTATCGGGTCTAAGCCATGCTTCCGTATCAGCAATGAAAGATACTCCACATAATGCTTCCTACAGATTACTTGAATTCAAAAACTTTGTTACCACTTAACAGTTCTTTTAAACTAACATAAAAATTAACAATATTATCATATACACAAGCAGGAGACAATTTTAAATGATCAATTCTCAAGTTTGTAGTCATAAAAAAGTTATAAAAATAATGAAAGTGCCTTTGAGGGAACTGCTGAATTCCAATATGCTAATAAAATTGATCTTCATGATCAAACCAAATCCTATCAACCTCCTCCACATACTCACTCTACAAGACGAGAAAATCAAGCAGAAAATCGATATTTCTAATGAATAAAAATTTTAGAGCAAAAACGCATTGATTTATAGCAATTTATTCAACATGCTCACCTAAATACCACAAAAACATATCAAATTGCATAAAAATTGAGTATAATACTCTAATTCAATACTATGTCTTATTTCAAATGTAAATAAAATATACATAAAATATACAAATAATCATGTATTTAAAGAATAATTTACTGTAAAATTAATTTGGCTTATATAATGTTGAAAATTTACTAATATGTAATTGAATAATTATAATTGCAATTTAATATTATGCGTAATAAGTGTGATGAGTATGCTGTAAAAAATGAGTTATTACCTGCAAAGTCCACAGCCTTCAATTGGGAATCCACAAATTGCTTCGAGGAAACCTTCATCTGTTTCTTTGAGTATCTGCACGTTGCATCGATTTGTTAAATTTTCATTTGTTTTCCTATAATCTATGCCATTGTCCTTAAAATAAAAAAAAAAAATAAGAATAGCAATGTAAAAGGATGTCTGATGTACTGTGATATACTTCCAAGAGTCGCTGTAACTGTTTGGGCTCTTTGTCTCTCAGGTAGAACAAACAGTTCCGAGGATGATGAGAATGGAGGCCGAGTTTCTCACAGAATGGCGATAACTTGCAATTATTTCCCATCAAAAATGGTTTTCCGCATCCTTGGCAAAATTCGTGCTTACAATGTGGACATATCAAATGCATGCATCCTCCCTTCGCAAGTACATATCTGGAAATATTATAAATTTTGTTAAAATAAAATATAAAATGTGAATTTTAGACTTTGTTTTTTACCTTGTCGTACATTTAGGACATGTGATGCCATTTTCTGCAAGATGCCTTTCAAGTTGATTTTCTGGGTCATTGTACTCTAACCATTCTTTGAATTCCTTGCAAGTCATCTTCTCATGTTCTTTCTGCCACTAGTAAAAGAGACAAAAAATACCATTGATAAATTTGAGAAGATAGTCACTATAATATAATGTTGTATAATTATGATAAGTTTGATACAATTATGAATAAGTGTTTAGGTCAACTTTCTATATGTGCAGGTAACTTCAACCTTGGTGTCAGAAGCTCGGGCCTTTAAATAACTTAACTCATAAGATCAACCGGGAGGACAAGGTAGGGATATGTGTTTATATCACATCTTCAAAATGATGGTGAACAACTGAATAAGTAATTTAAAAAAATAAGGGTATTTCAATTACGAGTTATTTGAACCATCAGAGTGCACATGTTTAAAAAACCAAAATTAATTGCTCTCAAAACTTTAATTACTAAATTACATACTATTCACAATTCATGTATATTATAAATTTAAAAATAAATAGTCTAATATTAACAAAAAAGTTAGTTACTGTTTTTCTGCAGGATGCACAGCTTATGTTTTTACAGTCTGGACAAATTAATCTTTTCTGCCTTGGATTTGCAATGAACCCAGATGAACACTATAAAGATTAAATATGTAAAAACTGAAAATATAAAGCATAAAGTATTTTTTTATAGTTTACCTGCCCACACCAAATAAAATTGGGGTCTTGCATCAATGTTCTATCCCTTAGTTTTCTCTGGAATAATTCATGAACATTTTCTTTTACCAATGTTTTTAACAAGATATCCAAGTTGCTAAAATAATGCAGTGTCTTATCCTCTTCAAGTTTGCTAATGTCAGGCTCTTTACAAAAAGGACATACACAGTCATTTATTGTCCTTTCAGTTATTTGCAGAGTAAAGTAATTCTTTGCACATTCCTGACAACAGATATGTTCACAGTCTAGCATAGACACCATCTAAAGAACAACACAAACAATAAATTCTATTAACTAATAAAATCCTAGAACCTGTTGGTGAAAACTTGAAAAAAATTTTTTTACTTACTTGTTTCATTGTGTACTTTCCTGCGCAGAGATAACATTCCTGCTGTAAATATGCAACTGCCATTTCAACATCATTACACTCAGCTGCAGCTGCAATGCACTGTTCTTCATCAAAATCTAAATTCTTTAACTTAACAACCAATTCTGCTTGACTGTAAGTTTGTACAAGTCCTTCAGCTAGGATTCTACGGACTTCTCTCTAAACAACATTTAAACAATATGATCATTTATAGAACTAAAAGCAAATCCACCCTTAATATCTGGAAGAATGTAAAAATATGGATGTACACTACCTCAAAACTTCCTAATTCTTCTTTCACTTGAAAACTTTCTGTAGTAGCGTCTTTTTTGAGGTCAGTTGGGACTATTTGAATATTACACTCTGTTTTTGTTGAATTATTTGTGTCATCATGAATTTTCAATTTTGGATTTATTAAAACTTCAGGTACCTGATTTTGACCAATATTGATTGTATCAATTGAAGTATTTATGGTATGAGACCCTAATCCACTATTACCAGAAAAACGATGATCTTGGCTTTCTTCTGCTTCATAAAACATGTTGTCAGAGTTTTCTTCTATATCAGACGTATTCTTACTGTCAACTAAGTTTTGTTTTGAATTCTTTTGCTCCAGCTGTATCTTCTGTTCATTTATAGGAAATTGTTGTAAATCAATAGATGCTCTCAACACTCTTTGAAATAAAGAACTAACAATCTTTTCTACAATATCATCCTTTGTTAGACTTTCCTTTAGCATATTCACAATTTCATGACTGCTATTTTGATTAAAAGTGTCTTCATTATTCTGAATATTTTGATAGATCTGTGAAATATTGTCTTTTTCAGAATCTGTAGGAATTGGACTAACGTCGCTATCTGAAGCCCCATCTGATGCATTGTCTATACAATTGGTGCTTTTTTGTAAGCAAACAGCACTAATCGGAGACAATGTTGAACTGGATGGTGAAAAATCTTCTTTCACATTGTTACTTTGTTGTTCACCAGTATTAGTAACAGGTATATGATTAACATCTTTATTATTTTCAATATCTTGTTTATTTTCTTTCAAAACAGTATTAACATATGTAGGAAAAGCTTCTTGATTTGTTTTTGAGCTTACCGCCCTATTTTCATGATTACTTTCTTTGTTAGTTTCACCTTTACTTGTATTATCTTGTGCAGGTAATTCTATAGCATTAATAATTATTGAATCAACATTATCATTTTTTTGTTCTTCCATTAAAGTTGAATTTACACCTCCTATCTTTGAATTAGAATTATCAATTTGGATAAGCATGTTATTTAATACTTCATCAACTACTTGTACAATTTCCTGAACATTATTAGCTGCATCTGAATTTTCATTTTGTTCATCAATTGTTATAATTTCTAAAGGCTTGCTTCTTTTTTGTTTTGTATTAAGATCTGCTACTACTATATCTGATTCTGATTTAACGTCCTTTAGAGACACACTTGGCACTTTAATTGGAATCCTCACAGTGATAATTTCAGTATTCTCTTCTATTGAATCAGGGTGATTTGGAAACTCGTCTGTTTCTTCTACATTCGACATAGTTGTTTCTTGTCTGTTTTCATCTCTTGCCGTATGATTTGGTTCCAAGGTAATAAAATTAGTTTCTTCTAATTTTTCAGAAGGAAGTTTGCTATTGAAAACTTCTAATTTTCCCATCTCTTCATTTAAGTAAGAAGAAATTTCATTTGGCTCTAAGTCAACATCTTTTATTGATGTTGTATTAGTATATTCACTTTTATCAACTTTTTGATCACCGTGCATTTCAATGCTTTCGTAAGAGCCACTGCTTGAAGGTGACAAGCTTTTTTCTAGTTGTGGTAGACTTTCAATAAAAGCAATATTGTCATCCTCATAGTCATATTCATCATCATCTTCATTTTCAGAAGTCAAGTCAGTATCCAAAGAAATTGTGTCACCATTAGGACCTTGTAAATCTTGATTTGCATTGTTTAAAGACATTGCATCACTTTCTGATGCAATTGGATCTACATTGGAGCTGGCATTACTGTTGGGTGGTACATGCTTTTCTTCTGTATCAAATTTTAAGTTTATATCTACACTACTGTCCTCCAAGCTTATGTGTGTATTTTCAGCTAAATCAGAAAAGCTTTCTGCATCATTTTGATGATCCTGAGACATAATGATTTGATTCGAAGAATTTGCACTTACAGAGTTTTTATTTTCAGACTGATTCAATTTTGGCACTGAGTCTTGTCCTAAATTTTTAGTTAAAAATTCTTGCAATGGATCAATTTTTTCCACTGGTTTTGATAATTCTTGCATTTCGAGGGCAATTTGAAGGGAATTATTTGCAGTGAAACAATGCGTTAAATATCTATGTACATCTGAGAAACGTCGATTCCGACTAGATTTAGTGTTTTGGGTTTTGAGAGAATTTTGTGGAAAATCGTAGGAATCTGAGTTTTTTGAGCTTATGGAATTTAATTGCAACATAGATTGAGATAACTTTGGTTTATATACATAATTGTCCAGCCAAGTTTGTATTCGGTCATTATTACTGTCATTAGAAAATAAACTCACCTCTTCATCTCTCTTATTACCCTTTCCCCCCTCCCAATCAGAATCTGAAACAAAAACATGAATATAAGTACCTATTAAAAAAATACTGCAGTACATGCCATATTAAAATTGAAAAACCAATAAAACTTTAGAACATAGAAGTTTAATCATTTCCAATCATCTGTGTCTGCATATTCTTCCAGGTATTGTTAGCCAGGTGCATTTCAGCATTTTTCCAGAGAAAGACCAAAGCAAGAAGAATAAGAAGACCAGAATTATTGGAAATGCAAACATATTTAATGTATTAAAAATTAAGCAACATCATATTCCAATTTTAAGTACAATATCTGAAGCAATGGTTGTTCACTAAGACGATTAGGTATTACAAATAAAACAATTTAATTTTTTTTTTTTTTTTCAAGGAATACTGGCCATTATGAAATACGTGTAGAAATGTGTGATGATTAGTGATCGTTAATCGATAATTATTCTGATAATTAATCACACCAGACCACATCTCACGATTTCTGAATAATTATGAAATACATCAAATACATTTTATGTTTCATTAGTTCAAATGTGATTAATTATTACTTAAATATCATATTTTTCAGTATTCATAATGATACTCTTTGCGTATGATTATTTGAACCACATATTTGATCTTTGACATAGCTTGTTTTTTTAAGTGTCTTATAATCAAGATATACAAATACATATTAACAATTTATCATCATTATTTCTGTTAATGATCATACAGTTACTATCATGCTAAAAGAAAAAAAGTACCATGTGCTAACTTTGTGAAATCACCACTTTCATTATCAGTCCCTTGTGGAGGCCCCCATATTCTCATCAGAAACGGTTTGAGCTGACTCTTACTAAGTTCCATATAAGCGGCCTCCAAGTTGCCATGATTGGCAGTCAGTACAGTTACAATATCTTCTCGGGAAAAATTGCCCCTCGAGAGAAGTTCAGCATACTGCAATGATGCAACATTATTATAAATAAATTTTTCTATGAAAAATAAGGAAAGGAATGTATAGAGAGAATATTTACTTTTTTTTGTCTTTGCTCAACACACTCAGTCACAGCAGCCCATACATTGCCGTCATGCATTCTGAGGGCTTCTCTTGCTTCTGACGCGGATATTGTGCCAACAGTATTTTCTTTTCTCTCATGGCCGTAGTTGGTGCCGAGAGTAACTACTGTGTCGATCATATTTCTCCAGTTCTTTTGAAGCCATGCAACAGGATCACCATCCTCACAATGTAATAGGGCTACTGCAAGGTCATCAGCAGAAAATTGCTGTTCTTCTGCTTCCTGAAGAAAAATTGATCATAGTTTTGTTCTAAAGAAAATAAACTGAAATAGTTAACTTACTCTTAATAACTTAACCATTTCTAGTCCTTGTTTCACTTGTTTTTGTACTAGGGTGCTAATGTAATCAGGGGGTTGGGAGCCAGCTCTTTTAAGATTCTGTAATTTTTTGTCAAAAAATATAACATTATTAAAAATAGAAATATTTTATATTCCTGAACACCACACCTCAAAACTAAATTAATAATATTTAATAATTATAATTAGATTAAATGAATTCTTAATATTAACAACCCTTTGCATTGTTAATTGATCCATATTTTTCACTGATGGTGGTTGTTCAGGAGGTACAGCTGTTCCATCAACTGGATTAAACTTTTCAGGACTTCTTCGTTTTGGAGGAGTTACAGGCAGGCTCTAAAAAAATTGAAGTATCTCTAAAACTTGCACTATTTTTTTTACTTTTTGTACCTGAGTATCACTAAACAATGACTGTTTAGAATATGATCTTTGTGGTGCCTTCCATTCAGCATAGTCTGCTAATGAAGTTGTACGCTTCAATTTATGCCCAGTCACGTCGTATGTCTACATGGAAGAAAAAAAAAACTTTAACATCAAGTTTAAAAAAAAAAAATTCCCGCCACACACCTGTGTAGAAATACTTTGAGGTGGTGGAGAAGTGCCAGTCGATGTTAAATGTTTTTGTGAATCATTTGGCTGAAGCCCTACAACAAATAGGGTAAATTCATTATAAATTAAATATTAAATGCTTGAACTTCTTAATAAATTATTTAATTGCAGAATGCAGAGCCTACCTTTTTGTGGTGATTTGATTTGCAGTTTTTGCATTGAGGTTGATTGAGGACTTGAACCCATATTCATTTTTCTTAATCCTTCAGTTATGGTAACTTCATCATAATCCTTCACAACCTTTGTTGTCCTTTGTTCTTCAAATCTCTTTGTGGATTTGAAATCTTTTTGCCCTTTTAGGTCTGGTTGAACATTTTGACTTTTGACAGATTTTGGTTTTGCTGTTGTTTTGCAACAGATGGCACAAACCCTTGTCCCTGGCTCATTAATAAAAGTGCAATGAACACATTCCCATTGCGTTTCTGGAATGGGACCCATTTCCTCTTCTTCTTCATTTCTATCTCCTGCCGAATTACCATTGGTCTCTAAATTATTAACAGTATTGGGTGTTTCGGTATGTGCATTGACTACATTTTCACCATATTTATAACTAATGGGAGATGTTCTTCTTCGTCCTGTGTCTGAAAATCTTTCATTGCGTCTGGATTTTCTTCTTCTAGATTCAGGCTCATTGAAATCATTTTGTTCTGATGTCCTTGGACTATTGCTTGAAGGATCTTCAAATTCAGAAAACCCTTTATTACTTCCTCTACTTAAACGACCTTCTTCTGTATAACTTGTTTTAGAATCATCAAATGTCCTCCTTCTCTGTCGCGTATCTTCTGATTCGTACCTTTGTTGATTTTGATTTGTCATGCTATCAAAATCATTTCTCCTACTACCTCGCCTATCTAAATTTCTGTCATACTCATGTTTAGACATTTTATCCAAAGGATGTCCCATGGATTCTCTTCTTGATAATGTTGGTTGGTGGCTTGCCCTTCGCCCTCCATAAGTAGAAAGGGTGTCATCATCATGCCTATGGGTTCTATTAATCCCTTCAGCCATAGACGCCCTTCTAGATATTCTATGTGTAAGAGCAGGAGATCTGCTCCAATTTTTCTCTCGATCATCTTCTTCACTTTCATATTCACTGTGTGGATTTCTACTTCTTCTTGATAATGCAGGAGATGGATTTCGTCTTCTGTTATGAACAAACCTGTCATCATCTTCTGATGCACTTGAAGAATCTTGGACATGATGCCTCCTTAAACTATTTCTTCTCGATTGCTCGTGACTACTTCTTCGATTCAGAAATGCTGAGCTGTGCCAAGTTCCATTTGGTGGTATTCCACTCCATGGGGGAAGACCCATTAAAGATTGTGGTCCCATGGTGTTACCATGCCATGGATCCCATATAACTCCATGTTGGCAACTAGGGCAATTCAACTGAGCCATTGAATGAGCCTGTAAAAATAAATATAAACCATTTTTTTTTTAATTATAATTTTTGGCATTGAAATTATATATAAATGATTTAAATAATTTTTTTTTTATATAAAAAACATCACCTGTACAAGAGGGTTAAACCCCGGTGAATGAAGATTAGAAAAGCTGCCAGCTCGATGATTCTTTAAATTCCAATCTCCAAACATGCCTTCTTGAAATCCTCCCATCTAAAATGGACATCATATAAATACACAGAGTTAATTGCTAACTATGGATGGAATGCAAAAAATGAAATTACCTGTGGAGACAATTCTTGGTGATGAGGGTGCCCCATATGGGGGGAAACACTATTCGCTGTGACTAAAATAAATCAAACAATAACTTAAACAATAGAAACAATCGAATAAGTATCAATAGTCTATTAAAAATAATTTTACAGGGTGCTGCTGGTAAAGGTCTTCCTCCAACCAATCTCTTCAAACTTCCAACAAAACCGACTTTAGAAGTCGGACTCTGAAATAATGCCCTAAATCATGACCTATACTATTTAAACTATAATCAACTACTCGCTTTTATTTGAGGCGTGGTATCAGTTGTACATGAATATGTGTTTCCACACCCAACATTAAAATATAAATATTAGGTGTTTATTTTACCTGATCTAGGGGACTTGGAATTGGTGTTCGAGATGTCCGTTTGTTTTTTCTGGGAGGAGGGACTGGGGGTTGGGCAGCTTCTCCTTTCGGTGGTAATGGTGGTCGTACAATCGTCTGTTTTCCATCTAAATCCTAAAACAATAAACTCATTAAAAAACCCAACATCTAACAGTTTCTAACTTATCAGAATCATGTTTTTAAATTATTGAAACAAAATAATTATAATGAACTAGCCTTTCTAAAGTGTGTTTGACGTTTTGGATGTCGATGATACATGTCATCACAAGAGGGGCAAAAATTTTGTGAACATTGAGCGCAATGAACAGATGGAGTTGATGATCCGCATAGGTCACACTTTTTTCCACTCGCTGGTTTTATTTCTAAAAAACATTCAAAACAAATTAGACAAAAAAAAAGACAAGTAAAATGTTCTTGTACCTTGCATTGGAGCATTTGAATAAGTTTGTCCTGGAAACTCTATAACTTCATAATCTGGATCTATTGGAGGATCATTGACTGGTGGAGGTGGCGGAGGAGGATATGCGACTCCTCTTGTTTGCTCAAATAAGTATCATACATATTAAATTTGACATAATCAAATATTAAACTAAGTTCTTAACTATTCGTTGTTGTTTAAGTATTTTTACTTTTAACATTTACCGCTCGGTTTTCTTATTAATGTAGTATGAGATTTATTCATTTGTTTATTGATTATTTATGTAAGCTCAATTCTGCACACATGTATATAGGATCTTACCTCTTCTTGCGGCATATCGTGAGAATATTTAATTTTGTGTTTTGGCAGTATGGGGTACCTAGGTCTTGTCTATCTCATCGCTGAAGTTAGGTTCCAGGGTCTATTCACAAGGACATTTCAGTCCCCAATGCAAGAAGTTTTTAAACCTTGGTACTTTCACACTTTCAATTATTCTTGTGTACATTTGTTCCTATTTACACACCAAATAAAATTTAAGAATGGTGGTGGTAGAGAACTGATATTGATCATTTGTTTGTACCATTTTAATGATTTAACCACAACCATTTAATATTAAATATATTTATTTTTTGTTATAAATAAAAATAGAAAAATAGATTTAATACAAAGTTTCAAAATGTTATTAATTTGGAACTTTTGGATTTATTATTTTTTATCACAACCCATGAATATATTTTTGTAAATTTATTAGAAACGCTCAATTTGATTGATGAGGGGATGAACAGATAGATCATTCCATGATTTAGCTTATTCTGTTAGATACATTTCAACATTTTACCATCAACTATGGTTGGTTAGTGTATTAACTAAATATATACATACACATAATATGTATGGGTAACATATCTATGTCTTTTTATAAGAGTGTTTCACTTAATTAGTTTATTCACCCACATTAAACACATTGTACTTTAATTTTTAAAAGAATCGTTTGTTTAATTGCAAATTGATTGCAGGAACAATTTTAATAATTTTATGATTATGCATAACTGATATTAATGTGATGATGGATTACATTTCAGCATCTTCAGTGTTTGTATGTTATTTTGTTCTTTTGTAATTGTTATATAATGTTTAGTTTACTCCCAAGCATTGTTTACTACTGAAATAAAAACCGTCATTAACTTGATTATTTGCTAATCAATTGTGAGCGATTTATCATATTATAATAATTATATCGTTATTCGTCAATTTCCCAACTTTCTCTTTGGTCTTCACTGACAGGAGCGTTTAAAAGGACACGATTGACGTAATAACACACATGCCAACTACTGAGGATGCCTCAACGCACTTGACGGACCAGAACCATACCGTTTTTTTCTGTACAGTGTGGAATTCCACGATGGATTTTTCGTTTAATACGAAAACGAAAAAAAAATCTGAAATACTGAAAATGGCAAACGCGGAAATGCGTCTTACAGATAAGCAGAAGATAGACAGACCTAGCGAAGATAGGCAGATTAAAATGATCGATAACAATAAAATTTTAATTACAATCTCTTAAATGCCGCAGGAAGGTGCTAATAAGGAAAATTATAAATAACTAATGACGCATATTATACGTTCAAGCGTCGTGGTGTTTGATGAAAACTTGCCAGTTGCAAGATCAAAAATTATACTTTTTTGGTCTAATTAATATTTAAGCATGAATAGCACTTGGACCAAAATTACAGTGTACAACATGGACAGGGAGAAAGTTTGTCATTAAAATTAACTCAATAGGTTATTGCAATATTTAAGAAAAAAATTATTGCAAATTAAAATTTGGTTGGAAATGCGTAAACCTAGGCGATAACAAGTAGGAAAACAGACGTGGTTTTTTAAATAAATATTTTTATTTTATACTTAAACCTGATTTTTTTTTGTAATAGTTATATTTTAAAGTTATTCCTGATAAACGTAATCAAAGGAAATAAATAAGAAAATATTAACGGGTATATTGAACTTGCCTATTTTTACCCAGCCTGCTCTATTAGTTTGTCTCTGTCGATACAAAAATAGAAATGTTGTTTTATGTAGTACACCTAAATAAATTGAAAAAAATCTTATATATCGTTTACATATGTATATTTCGACGATAATTTATGTTTTATTTACTTATTTAATATTACAGTTCCACGGGCATTTGCCCCTAACGGGTACAATAAAAACTAAAATAAATACATACGAAAATAGATAAACTGTATGTAAGGATAAGGCAGAATCCTAAATATAAAAATGACGTAGATAAAACAACAATTAAAATATGGCTTCGTACTATTTAGCCCAGGGCTGCAAGCCGATTTACAGATGGGGATGGGATCATCTAATAGATCAGCAAAATTTCCTGTTCTATTAAGCTCTTTTGCAGCTCGACACTGAACACCTCATGGCTTCTCAAGTTCGTCGCATGGAAGTTAAGGGAAAAGCGCTAAAAAATCTCAGCGGCATCAATGAGATCACCGAGAACCCGCCATCCAAAAAAACAGAAATGCCAGACCTCGACCGAGAAGAGATTCAATACCAAGACAAGAATATCTTTGAGGTATTATACATTAAGTATTTAAGTACCTATGATTGGACCTTCTCAATAAGAGCCCTATCGTTGTCTTAGTAAGTAGCCCAGACTATAGAAGCGAATTCCAATAAACTATGGTCAAGGAATTGCTATACAATTTTTATAGCAAAGATATCGGAAAAATTATTACGGTTATTCTTTTCAGGAAGCCTAGGTTTCTAAGAGCTCATTAGTGACATTAGTATAATCGTTTTCAAAGGTACGTGATTGTGTTGAAGATCACTCCTAAGTCGCCTATTTGTGACGCTTCACAGGAAGTACTATTATTAACAGAGTGATTTTATAAATCTTGAGATCGTCAGCCAGCATAGAGATTTGACAGCCGATATAGGAACACAGACCTCATTAAAGAATAATAAAAATAGTATGGGGATGATTGGGAACTCTGAATCTACCAAAACCGGATCAGAGAGAGCATCCTTATAAGATACGGAGAAGTCATGACCCTCCAGGAAAGATGACCAACCCGGTCAAAGGCTTTGGATAGGTCGGCATAAATGGAATGTTCCTCGAAATTATTCTCCAGAGCATTCAGTACAAAGTCTTTATAAATAATAGAATAGTTATTGATCGGCCTTTTAAGAAAGCATGCTGAAAGAATGAAACGAGCCTGCGTTTTGACGTTAATTTAGTCTCAATTGATTGAATGAATAAACACCGATGGCTTGAACGTATATGTTAACAAGAGCAGATATTTTTTCTATTTACCATCCAAGACGGCATTGATCTAGCCGCTTTTAATCTCGCGGATGGATTCATACCTCCACCCAAGGGACGCCATCTCTCCTTGTTCTGTAAAAATCGAAAAACAAAATTAAAATTAATTTTAATTAATGTTTCTCAAAGGAAACGTTCCCTCTTCTTGCCAGGAATTTCATAAACCAATCAAAACAGTCCCGGTGTTAAAATGTTCTATAACATTATATTTCATTTATGTATAAACAGATTATAATTAATACAATAATGGAATTACAATTAAATACTTTTAGTACATAATCTCACATTAATAGTTACATTACATAATCAATTGTTCTCAATAAATAAAAATATATTGAAATCATTATTCGAAGGATAACAATAATTAATTTTATTATCACGATCCATAAAAAAAACTTCATTAGTTAACCCGATTGACCAATTTGTGAAGAAATAATTGGGACAAAATAAGATGCAGGCAAAACTCATCGAAGTAATTGCCAAGTTTTATTTAGGGAGTTGAAAGTAGGAAATGTTTCCCAGAACGAATATGGAAAATTAAATCTCAATTATGACAAATTATTATCATTTCAAGCCATTACAGTTCGTGATCCGATTGACCATTAACATTTTTCAATTAATTAATATTTATGAAAGGTATTGGTCGAGATAATTATTAATAATAATAATTTAAAGTGCAGTTTAACAAAATGTAAATGAGTTACTGGATGATTATCCCAGGCCTGTCAACCTCTTCTGGCGGGCTGATGATTTTTATGCTTTCGTTTTTCTAGTTTATAAACTTGGAAATTTGAAGAATTCGTTTCATTTTATGTTGCAGGGTGAGGCCGTCTGATTTTTGAGGTGAAAATGAAAAGAGAACTTCTTCTCAACACGTTTTTTTTTCTAATTATCTTCCAGTTTCGAATAGATTGATATCTTATGTAACGATACAGTTTTTATTAATAAAAATGTTTTCAATGTAGTTTTTAGCACTTTGATTCGGTTGATGTGTTAAATTATCAAATCGCATCGTACAAACCATTTTCTATTAGAATGGATTCTATTTTCTCAAAGGCGATATTTAATTTTATTAATTAATTAAGTATATAACTAATTATTGCAACGGAATATGTACAGACCCAATATTTTCTTTTTTGTATCTGAATAAAGATTTAATCTTTATTGAAGGATGAAGGTGGTTTAAACAAGTCCCAAGTTCCATCAAAAAGCCACGCGCTTTTAGTTGTTTCTTCTATATTAAGAATATCCACTTTTTATGATATTTTCACCATTATTTTGTAACTTTCTTTTTACCAATTCTGTATAATTTTTATTTTTAACGTCAGTATAAGTATATTATATGTAAAATGTAAGTATAAATAATTTTTTTATTCAAGATTGTATTAAGGTCTGAAAGATGATTTGTTTCTACGGGTATTATTTTAATGTTTTGGTCTAGCCTATAGAATCTGTGACAACTCCGTCTGACTTTTTACAATTTCTGTAATTTGATATTACGATACAAAATACTCACTTTTTGTTCTTATAATTAACGCATCACAAAGGAAAACACGAGTTTTATTCGAAATCACCGAAAAATACCTGGTCAATCCGAATTTAGCAATAACAATTTGACTTTTCTACTTACTTCCATGTTGGCATTCCCTGTTTCCTGAAAAGAGATCAAATGTTCTGTCCGAGGCCAGTGCCAAACTCCAACTGTTATATTTAGTAGCAGCCATCCTCCTGACTTAGTGCCAAACTATGCTCTTAGACGTCGCTTCTTGGTTCAAAGGCACCCAGACTATTTACAAGCATTCGAATAGTCTGTTTTCGTGGCATACTCGAAGCCACTAAACTTAACAAGCCAGTTTTACAGTTAGTTTTCTGTCTTTCCCATATGCTTAATTTTTTTCAGTGGGTTTCGAAGAATGGAAGAATTTATTTCAAAAAGAAAATGAAATATCACAACCAGAATTACTGTTTCCGTAAATCGAGTACTGCCATTTGGATATGTTATCAAAATTAGGAAAGATAAACCAAAATCAAAGATACCTATTCAATCTTAGAAGAAGCTTGTCAGTGTTTTCCGGCTCTTTAATTAAACAAACTAAAACAAGGAAAGCGTTCACAGGATAATGAACCAAACCAAAAAATATTAAACATATAACTATTTTATACATAACAATATTTTATTAGCTTATACTACACACTTTTCTTTTAACTCAAAGTCATTTTGTTGTTCAGGTTTCTGGATTTATTAAATAATCCTAACGATCGAGATAGCTCCAAGAACCTGCTATTGAAACGTTTCCCTGAGATTGACATCTATTTATTTTCCCCGGACATGCCGATTAAACAGTAGGCGAACAGATAAGAAGGATTTTTTTTAAAGTTATTGACCTACAACAACAATTTATATCCAGTTACGTAATTCTTTTTTAGAGGGTGCGAAAAAAAGGTGTGTAGAGAGAGTAAGGAGAGTTTTGTTTAAATTTGTGTAGATAGATAGAAAGAGAGAACGAGAGAGAGAGAGAGAGAGAGAGAGAGAGAGAGAGAGAGAGAGAGAGAGAGATACATAACTAAACAATCATATTTATATAATGATAATAGGTATTTAAAACTTAGTTATTTGGAATTGACAAAAAATTGAAATGAAAAAAAATACGAGATGTGCTTATTATATTATTTATTAGAAATATTTATTATCACTTAGAGTAAGTGTGAGGGAAAGGTGAAAAGGACAGGCAGACACGGAGAGACAGCTAGAGAGCCCGATGTAAATATATATATAAGTTATATACGAATATAACTATTTTGTTAAATAAATGATGTGATGACAATGCTAGGATGCAGGTGTTGCTCCTAGAATTGTCATCAGCACTCTCTCCCATTCTAGACATTTTATAGGATTTTCATTTAACAAACGAGTTAAGTTAGATTTCCCGAAAGCATATCGATGAGATTTGATTTAGATCGTAAATTAAAAGAACTGAATGTATATCAGTACTTATTTGTAATTTCTGGAATAAAAGTTTTTAAAAACGCAATCGACAAAAGAAATTATTTAAGTGGCGCAGTGGCATTTAACTGGACATTGTCGAAAGTTATTGAATGAATATCGAGTAACTTTCCGTTTCAACGGTTAATCAACAATCGGTGAAGAGTTCAGCGCATATGATCTTTCCTCCCGGACAACGGCATCGAAATTCTAGACCCTCGGAACCAGCGAATATAGTCGTAAAAGCTCTCGTTTTTATGAAAGACAACAATTAAAATAATCTCATTTAAATTTGTAATATTATTAACATATTCTTAAAAAACGAAATTTTTTATTAATTGATAACAAATATCCAAAATGGCTCTCCCAGAATTTAAAAGAGAATTTCTGGACATGGTCCCGGAATTCAAGGAGACCCAACCGTTCTAACACGATTCATAGACATGTCGAAAAAATTAGTTAACACATTTGTAGATACTAACCACCCTAATAACTTCCAAAATTATACCTGCTTTCATGTTTAAGAAATAAGATAAAAGGCCCTGCAGCTCAAGTGATTGAAAATAGTAACGTGTCAAACTGGGCAGATTTAAAAACTGCATTGTTAGGGATACGCCGACAAAAGGGACGCATTCACTCTCCAGATTGAAATCTCTAGACTATCACAACAAAATGAAAAACCATATGAGTTCTATCAACGAGTACAGAACCTGTTAAACTTACAAATAGCATATTTTAAAAACCACAATCCCCTTCAAGCCAACACTTTGATTATGCGAGAGGCGTCGCACTCCGTGTCTTACTAAGAGATCTAAAAGAACCCTAGGCTCACTTATGCGGACTAGAAACCCAATAAATTTCACAGAAGCACTAAATATCCTCACGAATGATTTTCAGTTCTTGAAAACATTTCAGGAACCAGACAATTATCCGTCAAGGAAACCTCGCTTTCAACCACAGAGTAGACACCCAGCAAGATTCCCCAATCAATATCCTAATTTCCCTCAAAACACAAAATCTGACACACAAAGTTCACAAAACACTACGTTCGCCCCGCGAACGGACGTGACAACAAACCGACATCATGTCGAAACAAAGTAGACAATCGTTCAGAGAACCCAATAATTTTTTCCCACAGCAAAATTCCAAATTCGGTCAACACCGTCCAAATTACACTGTAGGAGAAATTCATCACCTAAATAACCAAGCAACCGCCACAGAAAATTCACAACACCAAAATCAGTTAAGCTTGGAACCTACGGATTAGTAGAAAACACAAGCCACTACCCGAGTACCATTTGATGACACAATGCAACAAGCAAACCTCCCATATATAGAATTCAGAAAGCCACCTCTCAAAATATTTTTATCGACACAGGTAGTACAACATCCTTCATCAATCCTGAAATAGCCACAAACACTTTTAAAAATCAATAAAATTAGATCTGTTTAAAATTACTTCAGCACACGGAACCTCGACCGAAAAATTTAGTGCATTTATACCATGTTCCCATCTATTCCAAATTAGCGGACTACAATTGAAATTTAGAAGATTTAAATTTCACGAAAAATTCGATATCTTATTAGGCTTAGACGCTCTTACATATCTGAACGCTCGTATCGAAGTTAAGTAATCCGTTATAATAAAAGTCCAAAAAAAAACTTTATTTATAATAACGAATACAATTTTATACAACAAGTATACCGGCCAACAACTAGCATAACACTGCGTCTAGCATAAGACTAAGAGTAAGACTTAATAGAAGACTAACGGAAGACTGTCGGCCCTAGCGCCTGAGCCCTATTTATATGGAAGTGAAGTTTGCTGACTCAGATGCTGTGGATTCTGGAAGACGGTACCATAACTTGAATTAAGTTTACCAATTACAATGATGTGACTTCACTGGTTTCTAGGCAAGGAATGTTCCTACATTTTAAATTATAAACAATTACGTTTCCCTGGTGGGGGAGAGTGCTGATTGCAATTCTGAGAAGGCCACCTGCATCTTAGCATTGTAATCTGATAATATCCGATAACTTATATATATATATATATATANCACAGCAAGCAAATACAAAACTGGAATAACCACTTCCAATTAGGGAATCTTCGGTCTATACTCGATGAAAGCCCGAGACGGATTCAATTAAAAATATTAATATGAGCAAAGGCTTGGGGATGTAATGAAGGGTTGCAACAGATAAGGGTCTAGCGAGTACGTAACACCTCCCCCTTTAAAAAAAATAAACTTCCTCCTGGATGTTTGACCTTAAGATTCCCTATTACAATATTATAATACAATATTACAATAAGTTACATGTTACATTGTTTATAGTTGTCATGATTCAAGTCCTACTCCTAATACAATATAATTCGATAATATATGGTTATAAAACATTAATTTTATTTAAGTCTATTTAATTTTATTTAATACAATATATACGGTAAATACAATACAGTACAATAAATTTTATTTAGTACATGGTGATAAAACATTAATTTTATTTAATTCGACTTCTTCCATATTCGAATCTGATTTAACATTTGCGGAATTTATCTATTTATTTTATTTCGACAAACATGGAACTTAAGCATATAATATATAATTATAAAAACAATAATTAACATAATGATTATCAACACGCAATACAATATAAAGGGTGAACCTGTATTATCGTCATTAATACTTTTGTGGATATTTATAGGGATTAGAGGATTCAAGGGTATATCTTGGAGAGAAAATTTCCTTAAATGAATTTCCATTTGAGGCTGTTGGTTCGCCGTTGAATTTATTGGTTCGATTTTAGGCAGAATTTTTGGATGTCCCCTAGATGTTGATTCGTAGGCCAGATGATTTCCTTTGTAGTAGATCGTCGCGGACTCCGTCTGCATTAGGTAGATTCCGTGAAGTTTTTTCGTTTCGGTTTCTTTATGTGTGACAATCGTTAATTTGTCAGGCGTAATAAAGACGATTAAATATTTGTTTATTTCTTTTATCAGCTCGATGTGGTTATTTGACGTGTGCAGACGGACAAGTGTGCAGGAAGTCGACGTCTCGTTCAGCATAATTTCTTCGACGCAACTGGATCGGTGATAAGATACGTCGTCTTCGTAGCATTGGAATCCTCGATTTACAAGTTTACATTTATTGTTTAATAAAATTAAAGAATTACTTTTTGTTGCTTTCAATACAAATTTGTTTTCAGGAATTACAGTTACATAAGTTTAGCCTAATTTAGAAGGTATTGAATAGAAATTATACATATCGTATTCTACTTTTGAATTAAGGGGTATTGACAAGCTATAAATGATTTCATTATTATGGATTTTACAACTGACTTTTATTAATATTCATATTCCAAAATATTTTCTAATTTTACTTCGATAGGCATCTGGATTGCATAATGCACAGAAATTTTTGAAAGTTCCTCATAGAGGTGATGTGTATTTATTATACTTGGGTGTAACGTTCCTTGTTTGCAAAATGTTATGGAACTCTCAATATCTTGAAATATATTCATAACTAGATTAAATAATGTTTGTAAGTGATGAATTGTTTCTTTTACAATTGTTAAATCGGTTATATGTCGAATCTTCCTATTTAGTTGTAATATTTTATATTCCAATTCTTCACTGTTATATTTTATAGTTTCTACGGTTTCCTTAAAATTATCAATGATTTTGTTATTGACAGAATATTGTGCGATTAATTGGTTTTGGATATTTAGTTGGTTTTCTTTTACGTGACTT